AATGATTTAAAAGTTGGCTCTCTGAACCTTAGCCCAATACCCAATGTTAATACTATACTGTCATCTTTTACTCCAAAGATAAAATATCACAAGACATGAATAAGATGAATTATGTTGGCGTATTGAGCAACAAGTGGCCTCAGCATTGAACTTCATGAGACGATTGACTGAATTTGACAAAACTTGATCCCCGTCAAATGCTTCAGATCAGACTGCCCAAAAGTGAGTCACTTAATATAAACTATAATTACATATTCCAGTCTAAATTGTTTAATTCACTGGTTGAAAATGAAAGAATGACAAAAGGCTTCTCAAATATAACTAATAAATTTGTGAGTTCATTGGTTTGAAGAAAAATATAAATCGAATAGTAACTCAAGCAGACAAGTAGCCAATTAAGCGATTCAATGCTGGCAATAAAATGTTACTCGACTGAAGGAATCGCAGTGGTTAGGCATCATGGTATTGGTGACGACAAAGGGTGATCCATGAACGCAGACCCATACTTTACCCATTATAGATTAATTTGATATCTATATTTCTCAATTGAAACTCATATTGATTCTTGCAGTTTTTGGAGTGCTGATCATGAAAATCACTTCCATTTCTGCTCCAGACTTACATTTTCATCTCAAATTGGGTCATTTTGGACCAAAATTCTTAGGTCGAGTTTAATATTATTGATGCCTGCAGTCTTTGGTGAGCTGAACTCAAAAATAACTTCCAAATTTTTCCCAGACTCACGCTTGACCCAATTTTGACCAAATTTGGCCCAAAATTTTTTAATTGAGTTTGATGTTGATCCCAGTAGTTTTTTGTGTGCTGATAACGAAAATCACTTCCATTTTGACTCCAGACTTATATTTTCATCCCAAATAAGGTCATTTTGGATCAAAATTTTCAAGTCGAGTTCAATATTGTTTCCTACAGTTTTTGGTGTGCTGAACTCAAATATGACTTCCGAAATTTTCTCAGACTCACGCATTACCGAATTTTGACCAATTCTGGACCAAAATTTTTGAATCGAGTTTGACGTTTATCCCAACAGTTTTTTGTGTGCTGATAACGAAAATCACTTCCATTTATACACCAGACCTACATTTCACTATATATGAGCCCATAAGTTGCATATTTCGTCAACTTTAGCCAAGTCTGAAGAGTATAAACTAATTCTCATCGCTCAGCCACACTACGCGCCCACACTAAACGGCGCGTACCCCTAGTTATAAAAGTCATGACAAACTTCAAACGAACTGCCTATTTCGCTCTTTGTTCTGGTGCATCCAAAATAGCGTTTTTCAGCGAAGGTTGTGGGAATTTTCTCCCTCAGATGGAGGAGCTACGGCCCGAAACGGACTTTACATCCATTTTTACACCCTTACCGTTTTGAACAATTCTGACGGCCTGGAAGCGTCGTTTGACCGCCCAAGGTCCCGCGGGCACGGGCTTCTGGAAGCGTTTTTTATGTTCTTTCGATCCCAAGTGGTCGCGAGGTTCTAAAACGAAACGGAACCCCAGTAGACCGTCAGTTGTGAAAGCAGCATAGGTCACATGGTCACACGGTGGACATTTTCCCATAGGCTGTTTCGGGTTCAACAAGTGATGATACAAAGGTCACCTTCCGTAATTTAGCGAAGGATAAGTCAGGGAAGAGAGTGAAATAGCCACACTGTAAAAAATTTTGACACGAATTTTCGTGTTGTGGCTAGTGAAACGCCCCTTCTTAGTTATACTCTAAATGAATTTTGTGTGCCAGTGGCAATGAAACTTCATTCGCCCTGGCACACTAAATTTTGCTGGCCACTGGCGATCAGAAGGCTTCTTTCCTACGCCAAATGGCAATTTTTGAGTCGTGGCGCTGAAAAGTATGCTCGGAACCAACATTGTGAACTTGCAAGTTTGGCGAGGAGAATCCGTCTCGGGCCGATGAAAAAAGCGGCACAAGCGGTCGGCATAGAACCCGAAACTTCAACTTGGATGTCTTGTGCCTTGACCTCTCGGCCACCGCACCACTGCTGGGTGGAGCGCTCAACAGCGCTTCATCATGGACTCGCGAGGATTAGTCTGGCCACCACCACGTGTGGCGAAGCAAAGCATTCTTCCCTTAGCCACGACTTGAAATTTCTTAACTGTCGTCTGGGTAGGATGCCTTTTCAGTGCCACACCTATGATTTTTCTCCGCCAAGGGGCTGTCAAATTTAAAGTCGTGGCGGAGGGAAGCATCGTTTTGTTAGCCAAGTGGTAAATTTCACATTTCGACTTGAAATTTTATAAGCCAATGGCTCTATATATTCGATCTCGTGGTTTGGAAAGTGGCCTTTCCATAGCCAGTGGCGCTTTAAACACACTTTCGTGTCTGGCTAAGAAAATTCAAAAAGCCATTGGCTACATAAATTTAAAGCTATTTTTTACAGTGAGTTTTCTTTTGATGTGGCTGAGTCATATGCTACAGCGTGGCAATGTTGTCTGTTGTCTTATAGGTGTTGGTGACCATGACGGAACTTACAAAACGACACTTTAGCAGCTTACGAAACCTAGAAAAACAAAAGTTAGATTGACTTATCCACATGAGGACATGGTCTACGTTTAGTAAAACAAATTTGAATTGCCCAATCTACCAAATCAACCTCAGTTCAGGCGCAAGGCCCCGGTGACCTGAAATGACCCCCTACGCACGGAATCACCCGGGCGCTTGTGGTGTTTTATCGGTTCCTTGTATGCATACGAACTGCCGAAAAGACACTTGGACGAAATCCGACACCCCCTGTGGCTTTGGTACGGGTCTAAACACCCCAAAAACAGCCGTTTTCGAGGGTTTGGGACTAGATGGGTTCTTGCAAACCGAGATCCAAAAAAGTACCCAAATGGGTCTCAGATACTCAAAAAAATGCGCTCTTTCGAATGTCGTGTCGGACGAGGCTCTACGACGTCGGGTTTGGATGCTACGGGCTCTCAAAGTTGCTCAATTTCACTATTTTTACTGAAGATTTGAGCATATCAGGGCCGTTTGAAGTAGACCAACGGCGATTTCACTCCTCTTTGTCTTAAATGGTGCCTACCCATAGGTAAAGACTAAAGCTGTAATTGGAACATAACTTTGAAAAAAAGACACGTTTGTCCTCGAAAAAAAGTTTTGAGGCACCATGTTAAAAAGGCGTTTCAAGAGGTGCTGATCAAAAGTAGATAGCTAAAAAAATATTTTTTCTGGACCCTAAATCACCTGAGCCCAGTGGTAAAATGACCCAAAACTTAAATTGTTCACAGTTCCTCTAATAATTGCCTGACATGGCTGAAATTTTGTGGGGGTGTTTACCTATGGGTAGGCACCATTTAAGACAAAGAGGAGCGAAATCGCCGATGGTCTACTTCAAACGGTCCTGATATGCTCAAATCTTCAGTAAAAATAGTGAAATTGAGCAACTTTGAGAGCCCGTAGCATCCAAACCCGACGTCGTAGAGCCTCGTCCGAAACGGCATTCGAAAGAGCGCATTTTTTAGAGTATCTGAGACCCATTTGGGTACTTTTTTGGATCTCGGTTTGCAAGAACCCATCTGGTCCCAAACCCTCGAAAACAGCTGTTTTTGGGGTGTTTAGACCGAGGGGGTAACGACTGGTAAATTTCGTGTCAGCCGGATTACGGATTACCCCGGATTACGCCCAAATTACCTCCGGATTACAACAAAAATAATCCTGGATTACCCCGGATTACCTCCCAAGTTGCTGTCAGCCGGATTCCCGAAGTCGTTACCCCCTCGGTTTAGACCCGTACCAAAGCCACAGGGGGTGTCGGATTTCGTCCAAGTGTCTTTTCGGCAGTTCGTATGCATACAAGGAACCGATAAAACACCACAAGCGCCCGCTCCTAGGATGTCGCCGGCCAAGCGGTTTTTTTTTTGTCTGGAGCTTCTCCTTATTCCCGGCTTCCGGTTTTGTTCTTCCTCTTATGGGCGCCTTGAACTCCTAGTCCGGCAACGTGTTGTCACGCTGAAAGGAGCGTGACAAAATGTCACGTTCCTTTGAGCTTCAAGTCACACTTGTTTGAATGTGAAAAAGCTCATTAATGGCTGATTCACGTTCAAACGAATGTCACAAAATGCTCTGACGAACGTGACAGTTTGTCAAAGGTCTCAACGTGATGTCACGCTCCTGGAATGAGTGCACGCGTAATCAATCGGACTCTGAAAACATATTATTCTAGACGTCGGCTCATCAAGAACCAAGGTGGAACCAGGTCCCGCTGGCACCGGAACGTCACACCCCACCCGCTGAAGTGTTTGAATAGACTATTTCGTTGGATTCACTTCGATCCCTCGTAAAAATAAGCGCATCGGAAGTCAGGTCGCGTCGGCCAATCAGAAGCTTCCTTTCATCGATGAAAGGAAGCTTCTGATTGGCCGACGCGACCCGACTTCCAGTGTATTTCATTTTTCGCGGAATCAAAGTGGATTTAGCAAAATAGTCTGTTGAAGAATTTTTCCTGCACTCTACAAAAAATGTCCTGTCAACGCCGTTAATTTATTATTACCAATGTTTGCTGTTATGCGATTCACGGCGTTTGCTGTGAACTAGTTCACGGCGTTAACTGTGATCTCGGTTACAGTGTTCACTGTGGTTTGGCCACAATAAACGCCGTGAAGTGGAGCCTGATTTGCAGTACTTCGGTGCTCAGCGGCGTCAAACTCAGTGTTTACTGTGGACAAGATCACAGAAAACGCTGTGAATTGACCTACAGTGAAAACTGGTATTAACTTTACGGCATTGACGGGCCATTTTTGGTAGAGTGTAGCGTAACTCGTAACTTTTTCAAGTAGTAGGATACTTATGTGGGAATCTAGACCGGAAGTCAGCGACAAACGGGAGTATCAAGCGTCTCCCGGCCGGAGTGGGTAGAGTGGGGGTAACATGGGCGCGCCTCCTTCACCCCCCTCTCCTCAGATTTCGACCCCCACCACTGCTCAGCACGGCTACGCGACACCTTTTTGTTTCTCTCAGACAGTCGCTGAATTCCAGTCAAGGTTTCTTCTGACGTACCACATTATCCCCCTGTTAATGCGACATTGATCTTCCCAGTGATTCCTGGCGCTCTCTGATCATAACTGCTTAGTTCGACGGTGTCGTCGGCCCTGCGTAACTTCACGGTGAAAACTGTTCCTGTTTATTTTTCAGGAACTCCCTGGAAATCGCCTTTGTCTTAATAGGGTACTTTCGTGGATCCCTGAACCGGAAGCACACAGACGCCATGTTGGCGGAAGTAGATCCAAACTTGACGTGGGAAAGAGACGTTCGTCAAAGGTATCGGCCACACTTGAACATAAACAGTCGTTTGATACTTGTTTGCAGTGCATATGTGTTTCGCGAGCAATATTTGTACAGCTCGGCTATAGTTTTGGATCCGAAGAGAGGTTAGTTTCCGGCCAATTTGGCGTCTGCTGGTCTGCTTGCTTCCGGTTCAGGGTTCTACGAAAGTACCCTATCAAGGGTTTCGTGGTAAAACCAGGAATCGTTTTTACCGTGTCTGAGGCTGAAATATCTTCACTCAGAATCGGATGTGTAGAGTAACACTCTCGCCTCATTAGTATTGTCGCTTTCATAAGAATCTGCAGCGAGGGGACCGTCTATTAATTACGTTACGCAATTTTGGGCACTTTTTGCCCCCTCCCCCATTAAACTCAGCGTTACATTGCAACAGAACACCCCACCCCCTCTATTAGCGTAACGTTACGCAAAATTTCTTAGGGAAGCACTTAATTCTGAAATGTGTTCCCATATTTAATGTGATTATCTTAATGTTACGCTGGCTTGGATCCCCCGTCCCCTCATGCTCTGCAGTGGTACTCTGAGCAGATTCGCCACCGCCCCTCCCGTCCCCCCTCTGCGTAACTCAGTTAACGCCCGCGAAACGAATCAAGAAGTACCAGACACAGTTCCCGAAATCGTCATTTGTAGGGTTTCAATGCACTCCCAGCCTCGTACTCACTGCTTCTCTCTTCATTATAAGGATTTAAAACAGACGTAATATGTACTATGTTCTTGTCAGTCGTTCACAAATGTACTATTCTCTTTTCAAATTTATTTGCTTAAATGCCATGCACACACTCATTTTAGGCACGTGGCATAACGTTCCCGGAATGAGAGTGCATCGTTTTACATCGTTCGTATTAGGTTTTCGGTGTCGCATCATTACCTCAATAGACCATTCTAGTCGTCGCCGACTGAAGAACAAGAAGAATCACAAATCCGGAAATGGCGCCGGCAACTTAACCTCACTCACCCGTCCTAGTACACCATTGAAAAAGTTTTTCGTTTCGACACTCTTTCAAAATCAATGTAGCTTGAGTCAAATACTTTTTGGCAAAGGTAAGAAATATATTTGTCAACATTACTCCCTGAAACCAGGCTCACTACCTACTCCCGATCTACTCTATTTCCGGTTTTGTGATTCTTCTTGTTCTTCAGGCGACCACGACTAGAATAGTCTAATGACCCTGGCCTCGTGTCAATATTCTCCGTACTAACAGGTTTCTTCGTTTTCTTGCCCTTCACAGACCAATGAGGTGCGCGGAGAAGACTAGAACCCCCACAGGTATCATTGTCAAGAAAGGCTACGGAAAATGTTGGGTTGTGGGAGAATAATCACAAGTTGTTTACCGAATTTCTCCGTCACTGTTTGCCACAGTGTATCCTCGCGTCGACACCAGTGCCATGGAGTGCCAAGTTTGCTTCGAGAAGTTCAACGCAGTGGAACGTCGTCCGAAGGTTCTTCCATGCGGGCACACCTACTGCTTGCAGTGCCTGAAGGAACTGCCCCGTCAAAGATGTCCGACGGACAGGAAGGTGAGGATCGTTTATACTGTTGCGAAGCAGAGTGGACGTTACAAATCCGTTACCCTTGCAAAATGGAAAATATATGGGCACTATATGGACAAAATATATGGCCCAACATGTATTGACGTCATATGTGGAAAAGATAATTTAGCAAGATACTTTTCCGATATAAAAAATATGTGGCAAATATATAAATTTCATACATTGCTCTATATGTGGCAATATATAGTGTGAATACACCATGGAGTCTCACGACTCAGAGACGTCCTTTACTAATATAAAAGAATGTAAACTTCGCCTTGCGAGGACATCCAATTGCGGTTCTACCGTGGTCACCCAGAAGAACTTTTCGCGCTACGCCCAAAAAAGACGTTTAAAATTTCCGAACTGTTCCAGTTCACTTGTTAAACAGGATTTCTCAAAATTTCTTGGAGACTTAAACGCATGGAAAAGAACCTTTCCCCTGCTTAATATATGGCGTCAGTATATTTTACAATATAAAATCATGTTGAGAAATATAGCCGCCTTTCAACATCCAGTGCCAAGATTTTAAGAAAAGTTAGTTGAAAAGTCTGCCCTCCTCACCCTACCCCATCCCAAGACGGGGACCGTGTCAGATATTGAAAAACATATTTCGCGAAGATAATATTATATGGGGAAATACATGCAGTACACATTAACGGGCACTAATACATACCCCCATATACACTCTAAATGTCTTACGAAGAAATTTCCCATAATACGAAGAAAATGGCGCAAGCATAATACGAAGGTGTTTTTTCTTCGTATTACGAAGGTTTTTCTTTGTATCTTACAATGAAAAAGCAGAAAAGATTCGTATTACGAAGAAATATTGCTTCGTATTATGCTTGCGCCGAATCCACTGTAACATACGAATAACATAGGTCAAATTTCATTGTAAGACATTTAGAGTGTATAAACCACGTATTGCGCAAGATAAATTGCAATATATTGAGCAAGATACAATTATATTGACAATGCATGAAACATATATGGAGTCATATATTGACACACATTTTCCATATATTTTCCTTTTTGCAAGGGTAAAGCATGTCGGTGTTCTCTGTTGATCATGACTCGTTTGCTAAAGCTGAATGACAGTTACTCAAGATTCAAATATTAGCGTGATAACAATGAATCTTTCCTGGTAAGATTGAATGTGCAATTTATCCTCTCGTCTTAAGTTTCATTAAATTTTTGTTTCAGATTTTTACGGAGCTCCCTGTGAACTTAGTGGACAACTTTCAAATTTTAAATGTCTCTGAAAGGTAAGAGTAAATAAGGTTTTGACGGGTTTTGATATCCAGGTCACCTTAAGGTGGTATACAGATAGGTGAGGACAAGTGGGGAGTGGTGCTCCAAAGGCGGGAAAATCCGCAGGCAAAGCTTACTGCAGCCGCACGCACACCAGTGCACCAGATGTGCAGATGGGATGCGCAGGTAGCTACTTTGGTGTCGGTGTGAGGTGGAGGAGGAAGAGTGCTCTAACCACACTCTAAATGTCTTACGAAGAAATTTCCCATAACGAAGGAAATGGCGCAAGCATAATACGAAGGTGGTTTTTCTTCGTATTACGAAGGTTTTTCTTTGTATCTTACAATGAAAAAGCTTAAAAGATTCGTATTACGAAGGAATATTGCTTCGTATTATGCTTGCGCCGATTTCACTGTAACATACGAATAACATAGGTCAAATTTCATTGTAAGACATTTAGAGTGCAATCAGAGCGCTTGTCCTCACCTATCTGTGTACCACCTCAGGTTAAGGTCATATGGAAGATAGGTCTGCGCAACCGAGATGCATGCTGGGAGACCGGGCAGCTAATCCCTCCCGAATCCGTCGCCGGAGGTCACCTGGAAACTTCTGCTAAGTGAACAACTTTTTTTTTTTGCCGGCCTTAACTAACATTTTATCCGGGTCTGCTTTATTGATTGATAACTGTGGGAATTAGCTGGGTCACCGTTTCCTGAATGGCACATTCAACGCCACGTTTAGAATTTCTCTGACACGACAGACAACCCGCTAAATTCAGATTTGTCCGTTAGAATCTGTCATGCGAATCGTTTGCGTTCATGTTGTTGAAAACTAGGCGATGCTCGTGCACAAGGTCGCGATTTGTGCAATTTGGAGCCTTCAAACGTGCTCCAAGTGCGATTACCTGTTTGTACAGTAGTACTTAGAGCATTTGTACTCATTGAAGTAATTTTTCTTGCACCCCCAAACGGCAGGCCTTCGGGTTTTATTCGACACCTTACCTCGGCGCCGAAACTCGAAGTGAACCAGAAGGGAGCTACAATGTATGTGCCTGACAAAACGCTGTTTCTTTTTTCTCTGCAGTGTGCAACCAACACTGTGGTGCTGCTCCTGCCAGAAGGAAGCCACGAGCAAGGAGTGTCTGGACTGGCACTCCCTGTGCAGCATGAAGAAGGCGCTCACGGACAAGGCGTCTCCGCTGCTTGATTCTCTCCAGACTGCTCTGGAGGAAGCGTCACTCCGCGTGGAGGCCGCGGCCAAGGTGCGTACACTGCAAACGCAACGGCGATACTAAAGTACTTTTTTTGGCGATAAAATTGAGTATCGCCAATAAACGGCCTTACGGAAAAGTATTGCCTTCAAAACGGCGGTACAAAAAAGTATCGCCAAAATTTGGCAATACTTTTGGATATTGCCAAAACCACAGCATTAAACCAAGGTCTTCTCCCCTTGATTTGCTCGACGTTTATGCCAAAATCGTGGCAATACTCCAAAGTATCGCCAAATTTTGGCGATACTTCTGTGTATCGCCGTTTTGAAGGCAATACCTTTCCGTAAGGCCGTTTATTGGCGATACTCAATTGTATCGCCAAAAAAGGTACTAAAAGTATTGCCTTTGGGTTTACAGTGTAAGGGAGGATGGGGAACCATGACCACTGGGGTAGCATGACCACGACCACCCCCCTCGCTCTCGGGAACTAATTTGCCGAAGGCAACCGGTCGACCGGACTTTCGAGAGAATAGGATTCCATTTTCAGCCAGATCCCTACCTTCTAGCTCTAAGGGTACGACCACATCACCTCGCCAAAATTTTTGTAACAGCGTTTTGGCTAAATTGGGCATATTTCAAATCTGGGATATTTTTTCTCACCCTCGCGTTTGAGGAGATAAGTTCGATGTCTTAGGTTTTTCTCAAAATGTCGGCTCTCCGGCAAAATATCTAACATCACATTTAATTCTAAGTAGCTTTTTGCTTGCTCGGGGAGCCTTATAGTCGCAAACTGCATTGTGGGGAGCCATGACCACTTTTTAGTGGGGCAACATGACCATACATTTTTGAGTGTTTTTTCTCATTTCGAGGGGTCCTATTCAAAAGATCTTATCTGCGCGTTCCCCCCAAGACAATCTTATTTCAAACGCATGCGGATTTCACCCAGTTTGACCAGTTGCGACAAGTACGAGAGTAAGCGGAATATATGTTTACATGTACTTTTGGTTTCTTTGATCTTTCATCTCCACATTTCAGTGAATTTTATCACAAATGATATTGATTTGTAGCTGTATTAAATGATCAAACTGAGTGAAATTCGCCTGCGTTTAAGATAAGATTATGTCTTGGGGGGAACGCGCAGATAAGATCTTTTGAATAGGACCCCTCGATTTTATGGTCTAATAATGATTTATTTTCGTCGAAAATTTGCTGTTTGCATCACAAAATGTATAAGGGTTAAATAATTCCTGCAGAATAGATAGTTTTATCGTGAATCGCCAGGATGATTAAGAATAGTTCTGAAACTGAGACTTGAAATGGTAGTTTCTCTAGCACTTAATGAGCTCCAAACCGCCAACGTTGGCCGCGAAAGCGATCCGTGGCTACTTTGCACCAAGACGGCTCTGGCATTATGAGAAACAGCATTTATTTCACTTGTTTGCAGTGTAGTGACCGCGATAATTTTCTTAAACTTTAAACTTTACCAAATTGAAATCTGCATACCAATTTGGATTCGTCTTAGACAAACCTAAACTGCTAACACATATCATAGCTTTAGATGTGAAATTTGAAAGCCTCAGAGCGTTAACTGTTGTAAACAGTCCATTGTAAGGCATCTTAAAACGGTTGAAACTCAGACGGTTTATTGACTGTTTTTTAGTTAAGTTGACTGGCCTGATGGTTAGGACAGCGATATACACAATTTCAATGAGAATACAGGTAGCAAATACACTTCTTGGGCCAAAAAATTACTATGGTCATGGTGCCCCACGGGGTGGTCATGGTACCCCATATGTGGGGCGCCATGACCACTTTGCGTTTCATTTTCCAAAGTGTTCCGTGAGCCTGCCGTGCATTGCAGACAAGTTCCAATGGGTGGAAGAGGTCCTTGGAGGTTTAAAGAATCCCCTTATGCTGGAAACTTAACTTTTCGAACCACACGGTGGAGTAGAGGGAGGCACAAAAAAAGTGGTCATGGTTCCCCACCCTCCCTTGCAGTGTTCCATGACGTTCTATTCACAACTGAAATTTGAGGGGTCACCGTGAAATTAAAAGAGTTTGGCGTCTGACCAATTATTGCCGATGTACGGCCGGAAAAAGGCCACACATAAATGCATGACCCAAATAGGGTCATACGTAACGGGGCAGTAGCACTTTGTGAAGGATTTTTTATAATTATTTTGAAACTTTCTGTTTGAACCTCAATTAAAAAATGTTGGCTTGAATGCTAGACACAAATGGCGGTGACCATATTGAAGTAGAAACTTTTTGCTACAATTTTTTAAAGAATATTTTGTTTTAGCATCATATTAGGGAGGAATATTAAGCACGTAAAAAAGGTCTGCCAAATTATACATAGGCCTAGTGTCACTGCGCGCACGATTTCAGCTAAAGTTATTAACTTTTTTCAATCGTTAAAGAAAGTGCATCTGAAAGAGCATAAAATGAACCTTGGGAGTTAAAAATCGGGCGAAAAATACTGCTAGATCAGTATCAGACAAAAAAATAATTGTTGAATGGAAAATTTGTATAAAAAGAACATTTTTCAAGCACTATTTTTTGTCCGATTTTAGCCCCCAAGTTTCATATTTTAGGAAATTTTATGCTCTTTCAGATCACTTTACCGATTGCAAATAGCAGGAAAAGTAGCGATATACATCGGCAACTTTGGCCCGTCCCGTACATTAAGAAACGTACGAATTTCGCCTATGTTTGACCCTGACGGGAATTAAACCTGAGTCTGGGGTTAAAATAAATGTCGTTTTCGTCATCAGCACCCTCGAAAACATCATAAACAATGCAAAAACTCGAATAAAAAGAATGTTCAAAAAATACTCCGCTGGGATTTGAACCCGGGTCCGAAGTTTTTCGATTCGCTCGAAACTGGCACCATTGGTTTTCTCTCGTCGCCCCGATTCCAAAAATACCCCTACTTGCCCTCCTAGCTGCATCCGTTGCCGAGATCCTCCTCGACCCCATGTAGACCATGATGCACCTGCAGCAGCGCCCCCGGGGCTCGGATCGGATTTGCTGCCACCGGGCGGTTCTTAGGGTCACCCAAGGAGGCTGCATACCAAATTTGGTCAAGATCGGACCACGGGAAGTCCTCGGACGGACGGACGGACGGACGGACGAACGAACGGACGCACACTCTAAAAAAAATTGTGGTAGAAATCCTATAAAAGTATCGGACGCATTTAACCTATCCGGTATAGGAATTTTCCCACACAGGACATGGTAATTTTACCATATGTCGACATGGCAAAATTCCTATACGTGTTGTTAGGTTTCTACTATATTAGGGTGTGGGAAAAATACTACACCGTGTATGGTAAAAATCCCATACGACTTGTGGGTTTGTTTTCGTTACGTGAGGTGGTGAAATTCCTATTCAAGCACAGGTAAAGCTCATTTCGTGGATTGTTGGACATCACTCGGGAGAACATGCCATGGCACCACGTCTCTCGGGATGGCATATTAAAAATGAGGTTCTGAGGACTCCAGCAGGGAAACCTCGAAACCGAAGGACAGCTCAATCCTGTCCCATTCACTCTTAAGCGGGATAGTTCGCTTGTACTTGAAGGAGATCTGGCGTGCACCCAACCTAATGGCCGACCGCAGTCGTCAGCGAGTGGCAACATGGAAATGCGATTTTCTCTACTATAGTGTAATATTTTGTTCAAAACTGGAAGCCAACGGCTAGGGCTGGCACTTACTTAGGCAACAGATGATATAGTTGTCGAAAATTATTCACTTCAGTAACATAAATAGGAAATACTTATTGGTGAACGGGCACGGCGCTCCAAGCGCCACCTAGCGGCAGGTTTGTGAAACCTGGCGCCAGGCGGCTGACAGTGGACCCTTACCCACAGTTCACGTTTTACAAGGTAACTTAACAATAGACGATGTCAAAATGCTTTGGAGCGCTACGTTTATTTTCAGTCTCATTATAATATCACGTAAAATTTCGCAAGGATTTAAAACCATGGCTCATTTACATAAATAGTTCTCAGAGTTGCCGCGATTTTCAGAGACTAACCCATCTCAAGTTTTACTGGAGAAGTTGAAATAATCTAAAACCGTATGTGATAATGGGGCAGAACAAGAAACAAAATAACTTTAAACCGGTGTTAACGAATCGTCTTGTGCCAATTGACACACATGAGCTTTTCTTTTCTTTCCTCTGGGCAGTTTAGCCGCGTTAGTCCTTGTGCAGCCTGTTATCAAAATTGAATATCTATTTTGTTCGCCTCTCTCCTGAAAAGATTTTTCAGAAACGTTTGGGATTCTTACTAATGCGTTGTAGGAAAAGCACTATACAACGGCCTGAAGTAATAGGATTTCTACTAAAGAGTGTGGCAAAAAAACTATCACGAGTATAGGAAATCAAATTCCTATACTCGGTTCGGATTTTTACTACACCGCATTGGCAAAAGAACGAAAAGTAAAGGAATTTTCCAAATCACGTATAGGATTGTCGTTTCCCATACCGCAGTTGGTACTTTTACCATACGACGGTGTAGTACAAATGCCATTATTTTTTAGAGTGCACAGCAGGGATCATACTATATGCCCGTCCCTCCGTCATTTTTTTTACAAAAAATAAACGGGACGGGCCAAAAAGTTAAAAACTTCGGCTGAAATCGTGCGCGTATCACCATGTATAATGTTACATACCTTTTTCACGTGCTTCAAATACCCCCATAAATTGATGCTTTTACAAGATGTTTTTTAAAAAAATTGTTGTAAAAGACTCCGATCACTTTTTACAATGATGCTGTTTTATGATGCAGGTGCGTGAGCTGGTACTGCAGCACAGCTCCCGTGTTGAGCAGGCGCACGACAAGCTCCTCAAAGCTCAAGCCACGTTGCAGAGTGCCCTTAAGACTGAGCAGGGAGACCTGGCCAAGGCGGTGACTGGCGTCGAGCAGGCCCTTGCAGAATCGGCGGCAGTCAAAGCCCGACCATCTGCCAAGGACGGCGACATTGGCACCTTGAGAGTGGACTTCACGCAGAGCAACGAGGCATGGAGTGCGGGCCTCATCTTCAAGGATGCCATGGCGGACCAATTTTTTCAAGGCCTTGACATGCTGACGGAAGGTCAGCTCACCTGGCAGAAGTCTAACCCTTGTGAGTACGAACGCCTGTGAGGCCACTGTTTCTCCCCCTGCTCTCCTCTGTAACTCCGCCGAGAGGCTGGTCGTAGTGGCTAATTAGATTTAGGATGGATATCTAATTTTTGGTCTCATTTTGTAGCAAAAGTTTCCTTAAAATGCTTGTGTTTGTGTCCTAAGGGGGTAGTACACTTTCGCAAGGTTCATAAAATTGTGTTTTTCCGAAAATTATTTGCGGGTTGAGGAGGTAAGGTGGTACGTCAGAACTTACCATGGGGCCTTATTTAACTTGAATTTCGGACCGAAATCACACGTATAGAGCGCAGCTGGAGGCAGCAGTTACGACTTTACGAATTTTCGAAACCATTGCAAAAATAACACGGTTTGCGTGATATGACCGCAATTTCCGTCCGATTGGAACGAGATTTCGCACAGACGACCTTGAGACCCGTCATTCTGGTGTGAACTATAGGACAACTGCGATTAATTATGTTTTACTATATTTGAACTTCAGTCTTTTGGAAGAAAATGGGCTAGAAAAATGACCCGTACAGAAAAATATAGTTCGCTTTTAGTTCGTTTTCAGTTCGTTTTTAGTTCGCTACCCTATGGATTGGTTCGCTTTTAGTTCGGAAGGGGGGAACTGGTTCGCTTTTAGTGAGTGAACTCAAGGAGGGATTGGTTCGCTAATAGTTCGCTTCGGTGGGACTAGTGCGCTAAAGGTTCGTGTGCCGGAGGACTAGTACGCATCCGGTGCGCGGCAGTGCGAACTAGTTCGCTAAGGGTTCGCTAAGGAGACCCGACGCAACCTCCCTACGAACCAATCCGCCTCCTGTACGAACCCTTAGCGCACTAGTTCGCTCTGCAGCGAACCAACAGCGTACTAGTTCACTCTGCAGCGAACCGAAAACGTACTAGTCCTCTGACAAGCAACGGGTGGGGGGTGGGGGGGACCCTCCGCCGTATTGTGTTAGCTCCATAATAAAGTCGGCATTCCTTTCGGACGTCGGTGTTCAATTTTAATACGTCAAGGGGATTGCAAGTTAAGTATTAAGGGGGCAAAGATCTTCAACTTCAAGTCTCCACGGAGGAACAAATCTGAAAATTACAATTATTTTGCTTAAAGTTTTGCGCGAAGCTTTATACTGGTAGTATAATGTTTCAATAATTTTAATTTCTTGTGCGAAATAACAGAAGAAATGCGATGTAACAGTTTATGTACCGTCTCGTGCCAAATGCATAAAGCGTCAATGTGAGAAGTAAAATCCTCCTAACACATCGCTCTCAATGACGCGCACTTGTTTAATTCCTCATCTGTCTGCAGTTTTATTAACGTTTAAACGCGCTTCCAAGGGGACATCGATTTTTTTGGTGTTTTGTGCAGTGCTCAAACGTCTCGCAGATTTTCCGTAAAATTCCAATAGAGACATCGAAAACCGCATCTTTCTATCTTGATAAATGCGCCCTCCAGAGAGCACGCACTGAGATGGACCGGAGTGCCGCGCGCCGAGCTGCGCGGAGCCAGTGAAGAGGCTCGCCCGCGGGCCCTGCCCTCATGTTTCAGGTTAGCGCAGTGGTTAGCGTCGTCGACTACGAGGAGCCCAAGGAGTCCACATCACAGAAGACCAGGGATCGACTACCACCGGCAGCCAGCATCGAGGGACGCAAAAGCATACATTACACGGGGGGTCGGCCCTTTCTTTTGAGGCTCGCCGTCGAAGCGAACTGTTCGCTTACCAGTTCACAAGCGGACCGAAAGCGAACCGATCCCTTCGCGAACTAGTTCGCTTCCGGTTCGGTTTTTGGTCGTTTTTAAACTCTGAGCGAACCAATCCCCCGACGAAGCGAACTCCAAGCGAACTAATCCACGGGTAATTTAAGCGAACTAAAAGCGAACTGATAGCGAACTAAAAGCGAACTGCATTTTTCTGTACGGGGAAAAATGGGCTAGAAAAATGATGTTTTCTGAGCTTGTCATTTTGACGTAGTTATTCCTAAAACTTTCCCTAGTTCACACCAGAATGACATGTATTCAGGTGGTCCACACCAAATTTGGACCCTTTGGGTCCCACCGTTTGGTCCAAATCGCGCAAACCAACGACCTGTGAATCATTTGCAGTGGTTAAGGGGAGGTTCTGGTGAAAATCTTGCCATTTTTCGGATTGGATCCCACTTTCATAATTTGTTCGGAATATCAAATCTTTCTTGGAGGAGACTAAAATTGAAAAAATCTCCTTGCGCATACTATATTGTCGTAAAAGGTTGACCTTGACATTTTTCACTTCTTCGATTCATTTTCTAAATATTCCGGCATCCATAGCTCAAAATTTCCATTACAGTATTAATTGTAAGCTTTTTAAGATGAAAAGTCCCTAAAATTTGACTATTTTGTACAATTTTGATCAAATATAGTGAAATGCTTGGTTAGAAAGCTTGCGAATAAAAATGTATTTAAGATTTTGAGTTGTGCAGGCCGGCATCTTTTAAAAATGAATCGAAGAAGTGAAAAATGTCAAAGCCAACCTTTTACGACAAAATAGTTTGCGCAAGAAGATTTTTAAAGTTAAAGGCTAAATAGAAGAAAAAGGCTCTGCGACTGGGTTCAGGGCATAGAATGTGCCTCCCCAATTAAAAATTTTAATATTTACTTGGTAAGACATCAAATTTTTAACTAATTTTCACAGTGGGACCCATTTAGGAGAAAATAGCATTTTCACAAGAACCTCCCCTTAGGGGGATTTCGACGTACTCGCAATTCGAGGGGTCCTATTCAAAAGATCTTATCTGGGCGTTCCCCCGAAGACAATCTTATCTTAAACGCATGTGGATTTTACATAGTTTGATCATTTGGTACAGCTACTTATCAACATAATTTGAGAGTTTGATCGCGTGAATCTAAAGATGGAAGTGCAAAGAAACCAAAAGTGCATGTAGAAATGTGTTTCGCTTGTCGTCCTATTTATTCTGGTTGATCAAAATGTGCGAAATCTGCAGGCGTTCAAGATAAGATTGTCTTCGGGGGAACGCCCAGATAAGATCCTTTGAATAGGACCCCTCGAATTGCGGCTTATAACACCTCTCATAATTTGTGATTTTGATCGTTAGTTACAGTATGAAAAGATCCCGTGATCTATTGACATCCCTCATGTCATGCGTCTGCCAAAAATTTGTGGATACACAGTATTTTTTGACCTTGCGTAGTGTACGACACCCTTAAGGGGAGGTTCTGGTGAAAATCTTGCCATTTTCCAAATGGATCCCACAGTCATAATGAGTTTGGAATATAAAATTTTTCTTCGAGGAGACTAAAATTTGGCTTTTGAAGGCACATGTCAGGCTGTAAACCCAGTCGAAGAGTCTTTTTGAGCCTATTTTGGCTGTATCTTAAAAAAATCTTCTTGCGCATACTATTTTGACGTTAAAGGTTGACCTTTACATTTTTCACTAATTCGATTCAATTTCAAAAGACTCCGGCATCCATAGCTCAAAATTTCCATTACAGTATTAATTGTAAGCTTTTTAAGATGAAAAGTCCCTAAAATTTGTCTATTTTGTACATTTTTGATCAATTATGGTGAAATGCTTGGTTAGCACTAGAACTGCTGACTTTTTCGTATACCTAGAACCGCGGAAGGGGTCATTTTGACCCCCCCATTTTTTCTGCCCGTATTTTTTATATTTTGCTCATGTTATGGGCCCTTAACGATGTAAAATGATGTATCTGAGATCAACAATGATATTTTGAATTATATAGGGCCTTAAAAGGCCAAAGGTAGGCAACCCGCAAGGCACGAATAACCTGTTTTGCTCAGTTTCTACCATTTTTGGCCCGTCCCGTGTATTTTTTTGTTAAAAAAATGACGGAGGGACGGAGTGTGATCCATGCTGTGCGTCCGTCCAATCGTTCGCCCGTCTGAGGACTTCCCGTGGTCCGATCTTGACCAAATTTGATATGCAGCCTCCTTGGGTGACCCTTAAGAACCGCCCGCTGGCAGCAAATCCGATCCGAGCCCCGGGGGCGCTGCTGCAGGTGCATCATGGTCTACCTTAGGTCGAGGAGGATTTCGGCAACGGATACAGCTAGAAGAGCATGAAGGGAAATTTTTGGAATCGGGGCGACGAGACAAAACCAACGGTGCCAGTTTCAAGCGAATCGGAGAGGTTTGAACCCGGGTTCAAATCTTAGTGGGGTACATTTAGAACATTCTTTTTATTCGGGTTTTTGCATTGTTGTTGATGTGTATGAGGGTGCTGATCTATTTTATGCTGATCTATGCAGATCTAAAAACATCTATTTTGACCCCAGACTCAGGTTCAAGTCCCGTCCGGATTAAAAAAAAGGTGAAATTAGTACATTCCTCAATGCACGGGACGGGCCAAAGTTGCCGATGTGTATCGCAACTTTTCCTGTTATTCAGTGTGGGGATGGGTACAAAGCGACGTAGATTTTTTTACCAGGTGACACCTTTACACTTGAAACGTATCTAAAACTATTAGACACATAAAGGTGTTAGGGTGCTTTTACTGCTGAGTCCAGAAACCAAGCGGTATCTTAACAATAATACAACAATATTAGAGTGGTGGCTGCCGGGCGGGATCGTGAGTGTCGCATGGTATGCAGTCTGCGTGAAGCATCGACAATACCTCGAGGGTACAGCGCGAGTGGCACCGGCCAACAATCCCATGTCCCCGGGTACAGCGCGCACAGAACAGCAACAATGTCTCACGGTTCGGCCGGTGCAAGCCACAGCTCGGCTCGCACCGACGTTGGCCAGCTCGCTTAGGTCCATGTATATTATTGGGCTATCTATTTATTTCATACACAGTTTTAAAAAAGCCCGAACTGCTACCTCGAAGAAAACCAAATCATCTGCTTTCATTGACGTTCGTTGAATGAGATTTTTTTATTCTACAGATACCTTACGCGGAACACACGCATCTTGCATACATTTAGGCGTTTGCTCGGCGGGTCGCCTATGCCGTTGGCTGGCCAAGTTAGGTCTCCCAGGGCAGTCCATAGCACTCCCAAATGATTCACCACTAAAATTGACGCTTGTGACGCTTTTTTATAGCCAAAATTCGAACTTCCTGAGTGCAAACAATACAGGGGTCAAAATGACCCCTGCCGCGGTTCTAGGTATATTGTTGTCCTACGCCCACAAAAATGGTCCGACAGCGCTGAAATTTCACTCAAATGTTCTTTTCTGGTATTAATAAAAAGTCAAAAAGCCCCAAATCCGAGAAGAAAAAAATAAGTCAGAAAAATTTATGACGAAAATTAAAAGGGGTCAAATTGACCCCCTCCGCGGTTCTAGTGTTAGACAGCTTGCGAATAAAAATGTAATTGACATTTTGAGTTGTGCATGCCGGCATCTTTTGAAAATGAATCGTAGAAGTGAAAAATGTCTAAGCCAACCTTTTACGACAAAATAGCTTGCGCAAGAAGATTTTTAAAGTTATAGCCTAAATGGGAGAAAAGGGCTCTGCGACTGGGTTCAGGGCATAGAATGTGCCTCCCCAATGAAAATTTTTAATAAATACTTGATAAGACATCAAATTTTTAACAAATTTTCACAGTGGGACCTATTTAGGAGAAAATAGCATTTTCACCAGAACCTCCCCTTAACACATGAAAAGCTTTAAACAACGTAGAATTACCGAGGGGTGAACCACTTAGCGTTCTGGTGTACACATGAGTACATGAGTACGGGTGAATACACCTTCTAACACTCATAAATTTCACATTTTACACGTTTTTTTTTGGCTTGTTTTAGCGGATAAGCTATTGAAGCGGCTAAGACACACTACGTCAAATCGTGTAAAAACTGAGCGAATTTTGCTCTCTTTAAACTTGTGAGCAGTACACTGAGTACGGGCCAATTTGTACACATGAGTACGCTAGTGATTCACCCCTCGAGAACTACGCGTATGGAAGCTATCGCACAAGTCAGCTTCGGCCATTTTCAGTGTATTGCCCCCGTAACATGTGTTCACTTTTCGCTTTTCCAGCATTGCTTTCCTTCACACCCCCGACGGCGCCTGGCTCCTCTTCCAAGAAGAGCAAGACAGCCACTAATTCTCACGGATCTAATTTCGCCGCGGCCACTGCGTCCGCGTTGGGTTCAGCTCCTGTAGGCCTATCATCATTCGGTTCAAGCTCAAGTGGACTGTATGGTGCTCCTTCGTCCGCAGCGGGTTCACTCTTTAGCGGCTCTTTAACATCATTTGGTTCAAGTTCAACCGGGCAATTTGGTGCTCCCTCGTCCGCAGTGGGTTCAGTACTTACCACCTCTTTACCATCACTAGGTTCAAATTCGACTGGACTATTTGGTGCTCCTTCGCCCGCAGCGTGTTCACTCTTCAGCGGCTCTTTAACATCATTTGGTTCAAGTTCAAATGGGCAATTTGGTGCTCCCTCGTCCGCAGTAGGTTCAGTACTTACCACCGCCTTACCATCCTTTGGTTCAAATTCGACTGGAGTATTTGGTGCTTCTTCCGCATCGGGTGCAGCACTTACCACCGTACCATTAATTGGTTCAAGTTCAAGTGGACTATTTGGTGCCCCTTCGCCCGCAGTGGGTTCACTGCTTACTGCCTCCATTCCATCATTTGGTTCAAGTACGACCGGACAGTTTGGTGCTCCTTCGTCCGCAGTGGGTTCAGTACTCACCTCCTCCGCGCCATCATTTGTTTCAAGTTCACCAGGACAATTTGATGCTTCTTTGCCTCAGATTTTTTTCACCAATCGATAGGTCAGAAGGGTCCTTTCTATGGTACGTTTCTTTGATTATTTATCATGTGCTGAGAAGTGGCTCTCGAAATGCCGACTAATATCGTTTCATCATTTTCCCCATTTTAAGTCGGTGCGAGAACTACTGCTGCTGACACACCACTGATCATCCGATCGTCCACAGCCCTACTGCCAGGCTGCCTGCAGTTACTCTTGGTATGTAATTGGTACGCAGGGCGGTGCCGTGGCGCTCCTTTTCAAATAATCTCATGTGCAACGAAAGCGAATTGCACTGTTTGATCAATTGAGACAGCTACAAATCAAAACAATTTGTGATTTAAGTCGTACAATCTTGAAAATTAAAGATCAAAGAAACCGATAGTGCTTTTAGAAACATGTACCGCGTCATCCGTCCTAAATGGTCCAACGTTGTGAAATTCGCTTGCACTGCGCTAGAAAAGACCAAACAAACCTACAAATATTTGTGGCAATTTTTTTTTTATCAGGAATTCATCTTGCTCTTTAAGGACAAAAGTTGTTGTCTGAAGTACAATGAAACCGGCACGAGGAGTGCCGCACAGTCCAGGCCTCGTTGTACTTCCTACAATCCTATTTTTTTACAGTTTTCATGGTACTTTTGTTGTACTGTTCACACTTTTTCTTGCAGTGTTCGGACATAAGATTCTTCAAATAGGAGCGCACAGATAAGATCTTTGGAATTGGACCCCTCGATATAGCCCTTATTTCTACGTAGCAAGCCGGAAATTGGAAGTCGAATTTTCACCTTTTTCGACGATGTTTGCTTGACTTATGACGAAAATGAAAAGAATTTTTTGGTTACAGGTCATATTCTGTTCATATTTATTGCTCTCATCAGCGAACCTTTTTTTCCCCTGACAGCATCGTCAAAACCTACGTACCGTGAACTGTCGGAACTTCTGTGAAATCAGCGACCACTTCGTGAACTGGGCGCTGATAACTCCGGCACCAACTGAACTTGTTCGGACTTCGCTGCTTCTCGTCGTCTTCAAGTCACTCTTCAGTTTGGAATGACTCCTACACCATCATGTCTGACACTTTGGTTTTTCTTTTTCTTTCTTTTTTCAGTTTATTTTCTTTGTAGAGCGGTATATTTTAATTTACCCTTTCTTTAATTGCGCTTGCCATTATTGTCATGGAAACTATCAATAAAGCTTTTCGTATTTGTATCGTATATTATTTGATTTTTCTATTGCTGTCTGGAATGAGGCACTCTTGAAAAATTGATCTGTCCGGAACACAGAAAGGGGGGCGGGGGTTGCATTGCACTTAAATAACTATACATTGGCATTTGAGCTCCTTGTTACCTGAATCATCAGGTAAAATACAAGAAACTGAAACACCTTTGAACCAACTTTGCACCCAGATCGGTTAGAAAATGGGCCGATTTTTTAAGTAGGAAATAGGACAATTTTTTATGACGGTCGCATGAAGTCGGACGCAGAATAGCGAAACTGTGGGCCATAAAGTTCGAAAAAACGCACTTTTAATTCTGTTTTCCATTTGCCAAAGCCACTTCAGGGCAGTAGACCGCCATACGCGCGACCTTCCCTCGAGGGGGTAACGACTGGTAAATTTCGTGTCAGCCGGATTACGGATTACCCCGGATTATCTCCAAATTACCTCCGGATTACAACCAAAATATTCCTGGATTACCCCGGATTACCTCCCAATTGGCTGTCAGCCGGATTCCCGAAGTCGTTACCCCCTCGCCTTCCCTTCAAAAAATTCGGGTTTATTTTTGGGGGAGACACCAATTAGTTCTGAAACACTAAGTGATACATTGATAAATGTGACTTGTAAAGGATTAGGAACGAAGCCGTCTGCTCTTCACCTTCGTGATGATCAAGTTACATCAAGTGTTCACAACGCCCATTAAAACATATAGGACTCCACTGTCACTCGTGTAAATCTTGTCAGAATGTCAGAGACCTGTCTGAACACCTGATCAAAATTCGCCGAAATTCGCGCACCTCTGAAAGCTGAAAACATCTACTGACAGTCTGTAGAACTCAAACCGTCAATATCAGAGTAAGTTTTCAGAATTTCAGCTTCCAGAGGTGTGCGAATTTTGATCAGGATTTTAGACATGTTTCTGACATTCTGACAAAATTTACACCAGTGGCGCTCTCAGTCCCTTGTCAGTAACCTGGCACTATAGCCTACAACAATAATATTAACTATTTTCTTCTTAGATTCAAACAACTTACTGCATAAAATCATTTTGGATTTTTTGTCAGTGAGTACTAATAAATATGCAGATAAGGGGCCGTCCATAAAATACGTAATGCTTTTTGAGGCCATTTTTGCCTGATCCAGCTAATCCAAGACAATCCTTACTGTCAGTGCAGATGTAGAACCATCCTAAAACTGCAGAGGTACCTTAAGGTGTTCATGATGTATCTGCAATGCAAATCAGAGAATCTCAATAAATCTGAAATACAATGTCCACGTACTTACATAAAGATGAAACTTTGTAACGAGCCCTTCGACGAGTATTTTTATGAAGTATGGCTCGGGTCGAGATAGGTTCGGGACGAGTGGGACGCGGGACGAGTTGGTCGGGACGAGCTGTCCTGCTTCCTTACAGAAAACACCGCTTTTCACGTGATGTGCAGCTAGGATAGTTCTGAATTGACACGAAAAGTTGGGGTTGTCTTGGATCTGCTCTGACAGGTAGGATTGTCTTGGATCTACTATGCCGGTTAGGATTGTTCTATTAGGACGCGTCGAAGTTCAGATTACCGATGCACAAATCCAGAGGTGCTATCGACAAAATGTCAATACCATACTAAAGTCAATAGCTAGTCCGAGGTTTGCTGGCAGAGCAGTGACGACTGTGACATCATGCAAATCATGAACGTGCAGCTCATTATTACTTTTGAATTGCAAGCCCCTTCGATAAGGCGAAATAGTGGTAAATACGATACGCAGCCGGGCCGCTGCGTAAAACTGTTACGACGAGTCTGACTATACCAGAGTCTTTGAGTGCAGTGTGGTGTCTTACTCAGCAGCCTTGGGCGCTGTCCAGCAGTCCCCCGCGGGGGAGGGGGGGAGAGAGAGAGAGAGAGAGAGAGAGAGAGAGAGAGAAGGAAAATAGAGGGGGGGGGGAATCAGCGCTCCTCGGCCGTTGATGTGTGCGCCGCCAGTCACCACCTAGGAGCTGCCCGCGCACCACACTGCCTCGCTGACTCCATTCGGTCCGATAAGGCGTTGCGGCGACGCTGTATTCCCCGTCCCTGCGTCACTGTGGGAGTGACCGGGCCGGCGTCACGCAGCGCCAACCCTTCGACCTGGGACCTGTCCGCAAACGGCAGAGAGCCGGTGCTCCATTAGGTAATATTTATTTTGACTCGAGGGCACTGTGGGAAAAAAATCACAGTAAATCCTGTAGTGATTAGTACAGCTGTCACTGTAGTTCCGAGTACAGGATTTACTGTACTTTTTTAACAGGATCTACTGTACTTTGTACGGGATTTACTGTACCACAGGGGTGGAGTACGGAATATCCAGTACCAGGTACAGTAGATACTGTAGCCAGGCACGGTAAATCCTGTGTTCTGAACTACAGTAAATCCCGGCAAAAAAATGAACGGGATTCACTGTGGTTTTTTCGCACAGTGGGGGCAACCGCTTGAAATTTATTTGTTCACACGGTTCTTCAAAGGTAGGGATTTCGTCGAGATTTCGCAGGATTTCGCGACATTTTCGTGGTATATCTCAAGATTTCGACAGATTTTGAACGGATTTCGCGAGATTTCACCAGGTTTTGGATTTCGCGAGATTTCACCAGACTCCGAATGGGCTTTACGAGATTACTATCGATTTTACGCAAGATTTCGGCCAATCAAGTGTACACAGGACTTCGCGAGTGGTTGTCCCCTCGCTTTGACCTCATGGCATCTTAGACAGCAAAAACAGCAATGTATCACTCCTTTAAATCCACTTCTTAAGTGCTAACTCTTTGCAAGCATGCCAACAGAGCAATTCTATTGTTGACGCGTTCTTTTGACGTTGAGCTATGTATCGGAGCATCTATTCAGGTAACGATATTATGCCAACCACACACACTAAATGTTTGGTAAGTTTTTTACGAGACGTCACCGTTCTCTCAGCAAAAGAAACGTACTATCAACTATATAAATTTCTCATTTGTAAGGGAGTGTGGGGCACCTAGTGACAGGGGCACCTAGTGACACAGGGGTGCCCTGGCCACCCTATGGCACTTTCAGACACCTTGAGGTGGCTAATCTAAAGGTCTTGTGCTGTGGAATCATGTTCAAGTGAAAGTGAAACTTTGAACAAAATATTTTAGCCCCTAGAATAAAAGCAAGAAAATAATAACCCAAAATCACAGATTTTACGACTTTTTAACAAAATGTTTTCTCGCCATTCTTCCAGTAAACGGGACTGCCGATCGTTCTGGCACTTTTAATCAATAATAAGGACCTTTAGTAAGTTGTTTTCACTGAACCAGCTCAAACATGTGATTTCATTTCCTTAATATCAAATTTTGAACGAAAATGAGCCCCCGGGGCAGGTAGTGACAGACACACTCTATTTATCGTATTTCAACGATTTAAACGTTTCAAAACATCGATTTGGCAACCGCGAAGTAAATTGTCACCGATTGTCACACAACGAAACATAAATGAGACTACTTTTAACGACAATTTCGTAGAACATTGAATTTGATTGGCAATTTAGTAAAATGCAGTTTCTTGGGGAAAATGGCGCCGTTCAGAATGGTTTGATATTTAAAAAGCTTAAAGAGTCCAAAACGGATAGTTTTCAATTAGCTGGAGCGTCGCTCTATGCTGGTAATGTGAGTTATATGACCTGTCACTAGGTGCCCCGGGCTGGGGCACCAAGTGACAAGTGCAGAGGTCTGCGGGAAGCTCTGTAAATAATAGAAATAGGTGTTGTCAAAACGCCACAACATGTTTTTTCGATCAAGGAAGGATCAAAGCAACCTTCTGAGGTGTAAGTAGATTCATTTCTCGCACAGTATCGAAGTGAGAGCCAAAATCCAAAAAGTGTCACTAGGTGCCCCACCCTCCCTTAGTTCAAGCACACTAATTGTACGAAAAGTGCATTTGCTCAATAACTTGACATCTCGTGCGGAATCGTACTCGATGTCTAGTGAGCGCACCAAGCTCGAGCCGTTGCCGAAGATTCGCAAGCCCACAGGCTCTCGGAGCGGGTTCGCGGGAAAGGTACTGATATGAGGTGTGTGAAGTGACATAATTGATGCGTGCGGGTATAGTGTCGTTGCCCTAATGTATGCTCTGATTGGCTGAGCGATAGCGAAGCCTGTTACTCAGGTGGGGTTGAAAAATTTTTCCTGCCTGTGTGTCTGTCTGTCTGTCTGTCCGCGCTACTCCTCCTGAACGGCTCGGCCGATCTCGGTGAGATTTTGCACACTTTTTGGGTATGTCCTTGGCTCGGCACACGCGAAATTTCACTGTCCTAGCTCAACTGGTTCGGTTTTTATAGCCGAAAAACACCTATAAAACGGCGAAAAATCGAGTTTTCGGCAGGCAGATTACTTCTGTCTTGAAGAAAGGGGGGTCTGGGGGGCGGAGCCCCCCAGCCTCGACAAGTTAAAAAGTCAGGCCAATGGGGGGTCTAGCCCTCCACCCCAGACAAAAAGATTTCGCGCCCGTTACGGGCACAGCCCGAGCAAATCTGGGCACAGCACGGGCGTGTCCGGGCTCAGCACAGGCTCAGCACGGGCTCAAGGGGCGCACCATCCGAAGGCGGGCCGAGGCTCGAACCCGCATGGGGGTAAATGCGGGCAAGTACGGGCAAGTGCGGGCAAGTGCGGGCAGATGCGGGCAGGCACGGGCAAATGCGGGCAGATGCGGGCAGACACGGGCACATACGGGCACATACGGGCAGATGAGTCTGCATCCGGAGCGCCTTGAGGTTTGTGCCCGAGACCCATTCTTGGACGAGATCGGAAAAGCTAAACACGAGTAATCGAAGCCTGGAGCAGTTCTACATGCATGGAAGCTATGGGGACCATCTCGTGCCGGATGAGCATCGAAGTAGTTTGGGTTGCCTAAGCTACAGGGTGATACGGGGCTCGTCTATCACCGTAGCTTAGGCGACCCAAACTACCTCCATGCTCACCTGGCACGAGATAGTTAGCTTCCAGGCATGCAGCACTGCTCCAGGCTTCGATTACTCGTGTTTACCTTTTTCGAGCTCGTCCACGAATGGGTCCTGGGCACAAACATCAAGGCGCTCCGGATGCATCCGCATCTGCCCGTATGTGCCCGTGTCTGCCCGCATCTGCCCGCATTTGCCCGTGCCTGCCCGCATCTGCCGGGCAGCTGCCCGCACTTGCCCGCACTTGCTTGCCCGTACTTGCCCGAACTTGACCGTACTTGCCCGCATTTACCCACATGCGGGTTCGAGCCTCGGCCCGCCTTCGGATGGTGCGCCCGTGCTGTGCCCGTGCTGTGCCCGTGCTGTGCCTGTGCCCGTGCTGTGCCCGGGCTGTGCCCGTAACGGGCGCGAAATCTTTTTGTCTGGGGAGCCTCGACAAGTTAAAAAGTCAGGCCAATGCAGCCCTAGGCACGAAATCAAATGCTGTTTTGACCTTCAATCACGCAAATTGGTGTGCGGATGCCTGGAAAAGAAACCTAGCCTGCCGAAGGCAGGCAAGCGCCTCAGGCCAAGGTAGGTGTAACGCCAGGCGTGGATGTCGAAACTGGCGCAGCATCGCGAAGCCTGTTACGACAAGACACGGTCTGGCGTACACCTACCTTGTGTTTATTCTCTAGGACTGTTGCTTCTTTTGCTACTAAAACTTTGATAACGTGCAAATCTTAAGCTCTTGTATTTGATCAGAACATTGTTTGCTCACCTTGACGGCAGTCCAAGCTTGCGTAACTCTACCATAGTGTCTCATTTCAGAACTATCTTTAAACGGAGGTGTCGAGGAACTCGCGTAAATACTTCAGTTACTTTCCCTACACATTAAATTCCTTTGCACACTTTGAGGACGGGTAGAGTAAGCATACGTGGTCGTACACAGTTTTCCGCCTGGGGAACACAATAGTAATAGTGATTAAACTATCAAATGAATTCTCTCATTTTCGTGGTAGCAAAGAGATGACTCGCCTCAGTGGCTTCAGTTGTCCAAGAGCCTTCAGAAGAACTTTGACTTTCAAAATAGTCAGCCACCAACTGAAACGCGAATAGGATATTGCGGGAATAGACACTTCCACCAGAGCGCCGAGTGAAGAACAAGAAGAATAACAAAAGCCGGAAACAGTCCATAAAAGTCGCTCCTTTGATCATATTATGAGTTCATTTGGGTTCTAAAAATTATTTAAAATTATAAAAAGACGAGTTTCATGATTGTAAACCGTCAAAACCCATAAATAAGACGTTTATGGGAACTGGTCCCGGTACCATTTCTTCCTCTTGTTCTTCACTCGGCGTTCTGGTGGAAGTGTCTATTACTGAAGATCATAGGTGATCATTTTTAACTTGAAAGGCCGTCAGAAACCTACCCGCGCCTCTCCAAGCTGTAATAGGCCGTCACTCTCCTCATGTTGCTCTCGACCATTAACAAGTACTAATGCTGGGATTCACATAGCTGGGATAGTCACCAGGTCAAACAACGTATGATTGACCTAGGAAAGAGATTGCCAGAGGATTGTAAGACAGATGGGCTTCACAGTCACTACAGCCTCAAAGAAATGCCACATAATATGAAGTACCTATGTCTCCTGGAGGGCTTCTAGTGCCTTCAGCACCATGGGCGGAAAGCTGAGATATAAAGTAACAGGATACAACATAAACACTGTTAAGGTTCCACTCATGATTGCTGATAAGCTGCACGTAGACATCCACAATCTGCACAAAAAAAATAACATCGATAAAATTAATACACTTTCAAAGGAAAATAAAAGTGATGCGCAGAAAAAAAAATCATTCCCTACTGTTTCATTAAGCCAGACATGTTGGAGTGTTTTGATGTCCGCCCTGGTGTACGCCCAATTCTTTCATGAATGCAGACTCTCTCTCTCTCTTTCTTCTACCTGCATGACTCTGTCGACTTCTGAGAACTTTAAAAGTGTGCTTTCATCACCCACCACAGTAGAACGGTCATGAAATGAAGAGTTCTGTTGATTATTCACCTGAGAGGCCATGCCCAACGACCTGAGAGGGGAAAGATTGTTTAGACCCGGAATCAAAGCGAAAATCACCAGATTATTACAGAAGTAAGTTACCTGTCTTGTGCTTTGGTGACTTTCATGAGGAAGTCTATTGCTAGTTCTGGCAACATTCAGTGGCAGCACTTTAATTCTGGCAGCTAGAACTACGTAGAACAGATATTGATGATCCTCGTCTTCTTTGGGAGTTAGGTTTTTTATCAGCTTAGAGGAGAATGCCTCCAGATTGTCTGCCAGGTTTACAGGAATATTATCCTCGAACTTGGCAGCCTGCTCATCGATTCTTTTCCACATTTCCTCTCTCCTTTTCTCTCGGGCTTCTTTCACCTCTAATTTCCGTTGGTATTGAGTTTTTTTTTTGTTCTAGGTGGGACCTAAAAATTGAAAAAGAACATTAAATAAATTACGTATGTTTAACTTCGGAGATGTGAATTAACACCAAGATTGTACCAAAAGTACCCTTTTCTGCACTTTGTTTTCCTTTCCTCGCTTTTTTGTATATCTGACCTTGATCGGACTAGCCTTTGGTAAAACAATTCATAGCGTCACTCAGTGGTTTTACGAAAACTAATATTACATACTTAAGACACAATAAGCATTTTTTTACTTACGTCAAGTGTTGTTCAGGAGGAGTAATTTATTGCTTTTAGAGGTGACAGAAGTTTCCTTCCCAAATCCATGAATCTCTTACAAAATTTTTCCCTTTGTAGAAAACTGACCTCTTCCTTTAGCAGGCAAAATTCCATTGCATTCATTTCCGATTCATCAGATCCAGCGGCACTTGAAGGCACAGAAAATTCAGGGTGCTTTCTAAACCACCAATTTCTTTCAAGGTCATCTTCATCATTTGATTCTTCTTCATTGTCATACAAGGACTTAGAAGTTCCCAAATTACTTTCCTGGCATTTGTTTTTGGCATAGATCCCATCAGGGAAGTCGGTCTCCTTTGCGTATTTGAAGACTGGGCTTCCATGCCACAGTGACCAATTACTGGTCTTACGTTTGGTACTGTTATAGTTGCATTTCATCCGACGGACAGACGACAAGAATGCTTTCCACTCCTGGGCTGCAAAATACATCCCAACAAATTCATGTTAACTTCTGATTCCGTTTATAACATTCAGTGCAGTAGTTAAAAATGAACACAAACTCACGAGTCATTAGACCGTCCCTTATTTTTTCAAATTGAACCGAGACAAAAATTCGTGGTGCCAAATTGTTCCATTTGGTGAGAAAACACCTCTGCCAAAGTTTGGTGGTGCTACGATATCGCATAGCCGAGCCTGAGGGGCCTAAGTGCAGATTTAAAAAATCGGCCGATTTCGGAAATTGAAAGTTGTATTCGAAGTAAACACGTCATTTTAATGCCCGTAGGGCGAAAATTTCAAGCGTTTTGTCGTATCTCGAACCATTATGGCCGAAACGGCGCTCTGAACGCGCTCCGCCACCGCGCGGAAGGCCGATCTGGACCCCACTACGAAGCATTTGGGCTGCACCAATCCGCCCCGGAGGGCAGTGGATCGCTGCGTCGCTGTCAGCACCTTCTCAAAACATGTGTTTGACTAATTGCATAGTAGTTGGTGGGTTGGATTTCATAACAGACGTGGTAAAGACAAAATTTTACACCAAAACACGTGAAAGTGCTATAATGGCTAAATTTGACACTTCGAGGGCACATTTCAGCATTTTCCTTTTGAGTATCCCACTAACCACAGTTGAAAATTCAGAGATAATTCAGATACATGTTTAGGGAAGGTGCTGACAGCGACGCAGCGATCCACTGCCCTCCGGGGCGGCTTGGTGCAGCCCAAATGCTTCGTAGTGGGGTCCAGATCGGCCGAGGGGTCGGCAACTCATATATTACTTCGTACGCGGTGGCTATATTACCCTATCTTACCATATATTACTTGCATATTACCACAATTTCGCCTCAATAATACCCCTATATTACTTTATATTACTTTGTATTACTTTATATTACACATATATTACCTATATTACTAGTAACATACGTATACTCCCTCGTACACGGCCAAGGGAAGTTGCCGACCCCTCGAGATCGGCCTTCCGCGCGGTGGCGGAGTGCGTTCAGAGCGCCGTTTCGGCCATAACGGTTCGAGACACGACAAAACGCTTGAAATGTTCGCCCTGCGGGCATCAAAATGACGTGTTTACTTCGAATACAACTTTCAATTTCCGAAATCAGCCGAGTTTTTAAATCTGCACTTAGGCCGGCCCCTCAGGCTCGGCTATGCGATATCGTAGCACCACCAAACTTTGGCAGAGGTGTTTGCTCACCAAATGGAACAATTTGGCACCACGAACTTTTGTCTCGGTTCAGTCTGAAACAAGCTAGGGCCCGCCCTTCCGTCGAACCGAGTTGCCAGCTCCGCTTCGCTGCGCCGGCAACTCGGTTCGACAGGGGGCCGGCCCAGCTTGGCCTGCCGGCGGCCTTTTCTCGGGCCTTCGGCCCTCGCATCAGACCCAACTTAGCCAGTCGAAGGCCCGGGCCTTCGGCCCGCTCGCATCACACACGCCGTGAGCGGGTAAAGCAAAGTTATCGATGTACCATCGTGACTTAGGCCCGCCCTTCTATTCACAATATGCAATAGTCCTTACACTTTTTACTCCAACTGTCCTTAGAATATGCCCATTTCATTTGTCTCTTCGCCCTCATTCCGAAAATACCCATATTTGCCATGCTACTGCAACTCCTTGCAATAGAGGCACAGCAGGAGCGCAACACGAGTCCGTCGCACTTTTTCCCATAACTCATGAAGGCGGGCTCCTGGACCCCCCTTCAGACCCCTCGTTGAAGAGGTCTTGCCAAGACCTATCCAAAACTTAAGTAAAAATTTTCAGTCGGTCGACCCCCTTTTTTCAAGATCCTGATGTGACTAATAGACGAAGTCGGGCTCCTGGACCCCCTTTCCGACCCCTCGTTGAAAAGGTCTTGCGGAGACCAATCGAAATCTGCAATAAATTTTTTTAGTCGGTCGACCCCCTTTTTTTAAGATCCTGATGTGACTAATAGACGAAGTCGGGCTCCTGGATTTCCGACCCCTCGTTGAAAAGGTCTTGCTGAGACCAATCGAAATCTGCAATAATTTTTTTTAGTCGGTCGACCCCCTTTTTTGAAGATCCTGATCTGGCCAACTTGTAAAAGCGGCCGATGGGGTCGGGACCAGGTCCATTCATCTTGTCTCGTCACCCCGATTCCAAAAATACCCCTATGTGCCCTGCTAGCACCAATAATGGCGGAAATCCCCCTCCCGCTCATGTAAACCATGATGCACCTGCAGCAGCCCTTGTGCGACCCGGACGGGATTTGCACCACCGGATTATTTGTTTGGACGGTACTCCTGAAGTACCCTCCAAATCTGGTTACTCTAGCTCAACTCCTTCCTTGTACACAGACGCCAACAACAACAACAACAACAACAACAACACACAGACACAAAGGCAAATGCATAGGCCCTCCCCCTATTTTTTGAATAGAAGGGCGGGCCAAAAATAAGGGACGGTCTAACGAGTCATAGAGTGGTTGAGGTGTGCTGCTATTGCGCCCCACGCCCTCTCTTGGACATTTGAAACCTTGTTCATCGGGTGCTTAGGGTCCCAGAGACACGGGTAGTGACGGACCAGAACTCGCTCGTTTTTCGGTGGCTTGGTCACGCTCCGTCCACGTTGCATGCCTGAAATCAATAGGAAACAAATTGAAACGTAATGCTTGGTGTTACAAAGGCCAACGTGGGCGCCTACCAGCGTTGTGTAGTTGTCGCCTTCATATCATTGCCTTTCGGTTAAGTTATTACTTAACCGAACGTCAATGATATGAAGGCGACTACGTGAGCATTCTTCTGCCGCCAGAATATCTTCTTGCCTTCACCCGTGCCATGGAGTGCCAAGTTTGCCTGGTGAAGTTCAACGCAGTGGAGCGTCGTCCGAAGGTGCTTCCATGCGGTCACACGTTCTGCTTGCATTGCTTGAAGGCATTGCCAGAACAAAGTTGTCCGACGGACAGGAAGGTGAGAAACTTTATTTCATATTCTTTATATCTGGACGTTAGAAGTGAGTGTACGTCAGTGTCTTGTGGACCCTTTGTTGGCTACCTGGCTAAATGACTGTGACTCAAGAGTCTAATAAATTTAGCGTAATAATTAGCAATCTTTTGTGTAAAAGTAGAAGACGAGCTATCCTTTCATCCTGAGTTCCATTCTTTTTTTTGTTTCAGGATTTTACTGAGCACCCGGACAACTTAGTGGACAACTTTCATCTTTTAAACGTGTCTGAAAAGTAAGAGCACTTAAGTTTTCGAAGGGTTTCGATGATTGCTTGTCCAGGACGTGTGAAATATCTTCCTCCAACGTCCGCGCGCGTGTGTGTATTATAGCCTTTAAAAGATTATCCAGTTCTGTAATATTGAGAACTGTGGGATTTCTCGATCACCCTTTTGACGTGTTATGGCCTGGCGTTTAAATCTGGGATAAGAACCCCGTTCTTGCTTTAAAGTTCAGGTAAACATTCAAACTGCACAGTAAAAACTCTACGCAGAGTCGCTTCGTAATACGAAGAAAATGAAGGCATTGTAAAATCTAAGGTAAAAAATCAATTGTGGGTCACATTTTTGAAAATTCCAAATTAGGGCCTTTAATTCTGACGTGGCGACAAAAGTGCAAGTGCGGCCTTTAACTATGGTCCTTGGACTAAGTTTTGCAGCATAGTAGCCCCGTCTATCATCCTTATTTTCTAAGCTGTTGCTGTTTTAAAAATAGTCTGTTTTGGCCCACAATTGATTTTTGGAACCAGTTGTGGGTCAGCATAGTACGAAGCTCAAATTTGGATATGATTTGCTGAAATACGAGAGAAATTCACTTTTGAATTTATTTTTCGGAATCGTGAAAACTGCTGGATCTGTATCACAATGAATCAATTGTGGGTCACATCAATTGTGGGCCATTTCGTCCTTTTGCTTGTAAATTGACCACCTTTGCAAGATATTTTCTTATGTTCATTAATGAAAGGTCCCTGGTTCTCAATAAACCAAGCAGACACGTTTTTCACTCAAAGAGGAAAAATACATAAACATGCTAATTTCACTGTGAGACAGATGGGAGTTAAACGTCCTGGATTAGAGACGAAACTTTTATAGTGCATATTGTAGGGCCGCCGGTGTGGTAGACAATCAACAACACACCGTCATCATGAGGTATTGCTACAATTTATTATCTATTTCAGTCAGAATATTAAATCAGTAGGGACTGATTTGACTCCCTATAACAGGGCCGGACTGGCCTCGGGTGCCTAGCCTGCAGTTGGAGAGCGGTCCCCTTCCGGGAGCTATGAAAGCCCCGCAATGCGCAACCCCTCCCTCCTCCCCAACAAAAAAGCCGTATGGCATGGCAGACTGGAAGTAAGAGCTAGCGTTGTCGTTCGGGGCTGTAGCCTAAGCTCAACATAAACTTCGTATCGTAGTACTAAATGTGTCAGAGCAGAAAAATGGAATTTTTTTCAGTCAGTAAGAAGCGCAAAAAACAAAAAAATAGCAGAATAACTACCGTAAAATTCGTCTGAAATAATGGGTCTGACATGGTAGCGAACGCTTGCCATCACCCGCGCACCATGGCATCGAATGATTTCGGCTGTACTCTGGTAAATTTATGTTCCCTAACCTATTATGAACCTAAATCAGCAAGGGCGTCCCGTTTTATCGCGTAATAGCTTCACGGTGGCAATTTGAAAACAAACGATTTTTTGCCTCGTTGGATGGGCGCCATTTTCACGACTTTTTGAAGGGCCTTCCTTTGAAGCCTGATAGGAGCCGCTACAATCGTCGCTCGGACATACACGCTATTTGGGGAGACAAATAAAGGTTGGAGGAAAGTCTACCGCGAAATTCAAATCGATTCAATCTCCGTCGGGTCTGCGGTGACCCGTCGAAAAAAATGACCAACAATTGATTCGTGACCCACAATTGATTTTTTACCTTACGGAGAAATGCTTCGTATTATGAAGCAAAATCCTTCGCAATACGAAGCATTTCTTCATAATACGAAGCAATTCTAAAACGCCTTCATTTTCTTTGTAAGTTATGAAACAAATGTTTCGTAGGCTTTTAAGAGTGTGTGTTACGAAATACTCATTTTGATATTTAATTAGATGCTGCAAATGCAGTGTAACGCACTCGGTCGAACTGAAAACGTACCGAAATCAGTTAAAACTACTTTCCGCAAACGAAAATACGGTCCTCGTTCAGCAATTTTTGCGAGTGGTCTCACAAGTTTGCGCATAGGTGTTTGAAATCCTTTCGCAACTTCTCTCGAATTTGTGCGATTCTGCGTCCACTCTCAGTGGAAGTGTAGAGCGGCAACAGGAAACTGATCGTAGTTTGCTGAAAGACAAACAGTGTTATTCACACTCATACAAATGCAGGCCGTCGGATACAGTGTGGTCGAGTGTTGTCGACACGTCGGAGCGCCGGACACAACTACTGTTCGACACATGCAAGCATACGACAAAGTGGTCTACGCCTGCAAGGGTCGACTTCTCGCACTCTAAATGTCTTACAATGAAATTTGACCCATGTTATTCGTATGTTACAGTGAATTCGGCGCAAGCATAATACAAAGCAATATGCCTTCGTAATACGAATCTTTTTGGCTTTTTCACTGTAAGATGCAAAGAAAATCCTTCGTAATACGAAGAAAAAGCACCTTCATATTATGCTTGCGCCATTTCCTTCGTATTATGGGAAACTTCTTCGTAAGACATTTAGAGTGCGTACACTAGGATTTGCAGTGTACGAAAATGTTAGCATGCTTGAAATCGTGCGAGACCACACACTTAAATAGTACGAATGCCTTTAGAGTGTGGTGAACGTGTTCATGGATCGTTGTTGACGTCCCCCAGGCTGCAACCGTCACTGTGGTGCTGCTCCTGCCAGAAGGAAGCCACGAGCAAGGAGTGCCTGGATTGGCATTCCCTGTGCAGCGTCAAGAAGGCGCGCACCCAGAAGGCGACCCCGCTGCTCGATGCCCTGAAGGCTGCTTTGGAGGCAGCGTCACGCCGAAAGGAGACCATGGCCAAGGTGCGTGTACTGCCAAGATGTTTCAAATTCATTACTAATATAGCCTTGTAAAGTTGTAATTTTGAAGGGAAATTCGTAATGCTACAGAGTTTTTTTTTTTAGGCACGGAGTTGTCTTATAACTCCACGACCGTGATTTTTATTTTCAAAGTGTCCCTTTTGGCAGTTTGTAAACTCTCCTAAATTTCGTCAGATTTTTTGTTTTGGTTTTGCAAACTGGCTGAACTTTGTACCCTGATTTCGCGGATAAAATCTTGTTGGAAACTGTCTTTCGAATTTTGTGAGATTCGGACGTGAAATCGCCGTTTCTATGACAGAGCTCGACTCGTCAGCGAAAAATTTTGGGAGAGGGGATAGCCAAGCCACTAAATGCTGAATCTGACCTATAGCCATGGAGGATAGAGGGGATGGAGGACCGGTCGCGAGTCAGGAATGAACTGGGGTTTAGGGGTGTACACCTCTATTCGCCATGCTATAGCAGCGCTGCTTTTCGCTGTACCGCTTTCTTCGAAAATGCTCGCGGTCCTGAAAAAGCGGGTTCGAATATAATTTGTGTTACAGGCAGCCAACGAATGTGACATTATCACATTTGTTTGCACGTGAAAACTGCGATGCCCGTTTGTACGTGACACACTCCCTAATCATACGTGACATCACGCTGAAACGAACTTGACAAAATGTCACATTCGTTCGAGCATTGTGTCACATTCGTTTGAATGTAAACAAGTTAATTTTTGGCCGATTCACATCCAAACGAATGTGATTCAATGCTCAAACGCACGTGACATTTTGTCACGTTCGTTTCAACGTGATGTCGCGTACTTGAAATAAGAGTGCAGACAGTAAAAATTTAAAGTCAAACGAATGTGACACACTGCACCGTTTTGTCACATTTTTCCTCAAATATTATTTATTTGTTACTGTTTTAACCCTAAAACTTCGTTAGTTCATGAAAGAAGTGTTCTTTCAACACATTCAAAGGGAAAAACCGTTTTCCGCATTAAGGCCAGCTGTTAATTTGTAAAATAGCAATTTATTCTGCTAGCAGTGTATCGGAATTTCAGCGTTTCCTATATGTGCACTCTCAGGCTCTTCATTGACTTTTAGTACATGGTATTGACATTGTCGATAGTACCTCTGTTTTTGTGGAACAATAATATGTACTTTTCACTTTTGTTCTTGTTGTCTGCAGTTTTGTTAGTACTTATTGACAAAGAATAATTCCTTACTAATTTTATGCAGTAAATTATTTGCTATCCAAGAAGAAAATACTAAATATAATTGCTGTAGGCTCTAGTACCTGGTTACTGACGAATAAGTCAATGAGATGCCGAGAGTGTGTTTTAGAAATGTTTCTGTGCAACAGTGTTGTGAAATGCTGATCGCCTCTTACAATGTATTGCTCTCTGTTGCAGGTGCGTGAGCTTGTGCTGGAGCACAGCTCCCGTGCGGAGCAAGCGCACTCGAAGCTCCTGAAAGCGCAAGCCACCCTGCAGAGTGCCGTTGATTCTGAACATGAAGACCTGGCCAGGGCGATGGCTAGCGTCGAGCAGGCTCTCGCTGAACCGGCGGCAGTCAAAGCAAGGCCCCTTGGCGAAGACGGTGGCATCTTCAGAGTGAACGTGACTTTGACGCAGAGCCACAAGACATGGAGTGCGGGTCTTACCCTGAAGGATAACACGGTGGACCAAGTTTTTCAAGGCCTTGAAATTCTGACGGAAGGTCAGCTTACGTGGCGGGCGTTTGACCCCTGTGAGTATAGGAACGCGTCTCTGTGATGCTTCTGTAACTCATGTTGCTCTCCTCTGCACCCCAGGGAGACTGCTCTGCCATCTCAACACTGAGAATGAAAAAGTCTTGATCAATACTCTATTTTGGGCGAGGTATAATTTATTACTCAAAGTTGAGTGACGAAACCTTCCTCACCCAAATTTGGGTGATAAAGAATTCCTCACATTTTAGTCATGTTCATGACTTTTTCATTCTCAGTGAAGTGTGAGTCAGTCTCGCACTATTTAGTGCGAACCACCATGTCTCACGCTCAAAAGCCTTAGCCACGTCCCACGCTTGCAAGTGTGCGACAACGTTTTTCTCACGCTGACAAGAGTGAGGAAACGTTTTTCCCACACTTAAGGTAAATTATGGGTCACGAATCCATTATGGGCCTTTTTGTTTGACGGGCCGCTACAAAACCATGAATGAGCGAATCGAATTCAATTTCTGTATGGGTCTTCCCTCAACCTTTCTCAGCGCGGCTCTGAGCAACGACTAAAATGCGACTTATCGGGCACCAGAGAGAGACCTTCAGAATTCAACGGAAAATTGGGCCTATCCCAGGGCCAGGGCTGGGAAATATCTAGGTAAAACGTACCTAGGAACTTTTTTGGTATCTATAACTGTACTTAGGTACTCAAGTCACAATTGTAACTGTACCTGTACCTAGGTACTTTTGGGGCAGTAACTTTACCTAGAACTGCATGTACTTTTACAGGCACTTTTGGGCGCGAAGGGAAAGACGGGTAATGAGGATGCGCTCAAAACAGTGTGGGGATGAAGAAAGACACTCAGAGGACTGCCTGTTTTCGGGGAAGAAACAGATATTCGGCCCCCTCCCCTTTTTATGTGCCTCCTCCGGGCTCCATGTGGCAGGTCTGGTCACCGCATGCACTGCCAAGGTGAACGCAGAGGACTTACACTATGAAACAAAGGACACATCTCAGCGGGGCTTTTGGGGTTTGTCCCTAAAATGCGTTACCGGAACCATTCCATTATAAGAGCGAGGTCAAGGATGGTCCCTGGAGCCGCCGGTGATGCGGCGTGACGAATCGGGGTTGTAAACAGCACACGCGTTGGCACGAAAAGGGTCATTGACGCAAGAAAGTTTGAAGGGACGAAAAAGTCGCGCGAGGTTTCTTTTGGTTGCGCTCCTGGGCGGGTGCGTTGAATTATCAAAATAACTGAAAGTACCTGAAAAGTACCTACGTATTTTGCCAAAGTACCTGTAACTGTACCTAGGTACTGAGCTCGATCAAGTACCTACTATTTTGATCCAGTACCTGTATATGTACCCAGGTAAAAATATAAAGTATCTGTCCCAGCCCTGCCCAGGGCAAGAAAAAAGGAAAAGAGGGATGCTTTTGGAACGTTTTGGAACGCTCAAACGAACGTGGCATTTTGTCACGTTCGTTTCAACGTGATGTCACATACTTGGAATGGGAGTGGTAAATTGGATTGTATAATGTGTGCTCAAAATACTTTGTAAGGTTTTAAGCGTGTACACTACATACAGAAGTGAATACTCTGTATGCATCTGTAGGTGCTCACTTGCAAGTAGGCATACTTGGCTTCGCACTCCTAGATGAACTACAATACACGCTGATGCCCTCCCTCCCAAGGGTGAGCACTTCTTTCAGACACTCTTGAATGTCTCTAAACGTCTGTTTACCTTTTGCTTTTCCAGCATTCAATCACTGCCGAACGTCGTCGTCGTCAAAGCCTCACTCCTCTCCTAAGAATAAGACGGCCACTGCTGGCCCCAAATTCACTTTCGGCGCAGCCATTTCATCTGCGTCGGGTACAGCACTATTTGGTTCAAAGCCAACAGGCCTGTTTGGTGATCCTTCTTCAGCGTCCGGCACAGCACCCACCGTCTCATTTGGTGTAAATTCAACAAGACCATTGGAGACTCCATCGTCTGGTACGTTTCTTTGGCTTCTATGAAACGATATGGAATTGCTCTTTCCAACGCTGTCATGACAGTGTACCGAGGGGTCTTCTTCAAAAGATCTTGCCCTACAGTTTCCCGATGAAACATCTCATCTGGCCGTTACCATATGAAGAATCTTATCTTAAACGCAAGCGAATTTCTCTAAGTTTAATCATTTGGGACGGATGTGAGTAAGTGAGTAAGCGCACCCTCATTCCAGGAACGTGCACAGCACACTAAATGCTTATGTACAATTTTGTTCGCGGTGATACATAATTTTAAACCTGCGTACCGTCGTGCCTAAAATTGTGCGTGAATTTGCATGCATTCGTACATTTTCACGCATGATATCATGCATAATTCACGCATGCAGAACACTCTGTTATTCAAACTGCGATAACCACTGTCTATATTTTGCAATAAAAAACTTATCACATTTATTTTGCTATGATGACAACTAAATATCGGCAATAAAAAATTTATAGCTAAATTTTGCAATAAAGTATCACATTTTGCGATAATGACTACAAAGGAAATGCAATAAAAAGTTATCGCAGAAAAAAATGTGATAAAAGTTACTACGAAACGCTCTATAGTCGCAAAAATTATGGGGTGGTTATTGCAAAAAAAAGTGGAATAACAAAATTATCGCACTCCAGGATGCGATAAATCGTGGGAATCGCAAACTCGGTTTTATCGCAAAAATTTGTAGTAAAAGTATCACAAAGTGAATGACAGTGCAGGCGCGGTTTAAGGAGCCCCCGACAAGAGGGGTGACTGCATATTTTTCCTACCTACAGGGGTATGTGATGCTGATTGCCTACTATCAGGCGTTTTGGGGATCTAACCGGAAGGGCGATTTTCCCCCCTCCCCAAAAGTGCGCCTGATGCACAACATTGTGTGACATCACGTTGAAACGAAGTGACAAAATGTCTCCTTGGTCTAAGCATTGTGCCTCATTCGTTTGGACGCGTGGATCAGGGATTGCCCTAAATGTAACACTTTCACGCTGAGACGAATATGATACAATGCTCAAAGGAACGTGACATTTTGGGCACACATTTCAACGTGATGTCACTTTCCTGGAATGAGAGTGTGGAACTTATCTCAGGAAGCGCACGGTAAAAACGTGTCCTGGTTTTCCCTGGGAGCCTATCGCAAAGACATCGGTGATTTCTTGACAGTTCCTGGGAAAACCTGGAACCGTTTTCAGCATGCACTTCTAATTTCTTCGATCATTCGCTTTCGAGTTAGTGTGATTAACGTGATGATTCCTTTTCGTTTGTAACGGTCTCAAACGAACAAAGACTGTTAACCTGAGTGTTGCGTTTCTGCAAGTGACAAGCTGCTACATTTATGAATTGAGTCGCTTGCGAGCCATCGGCAATTCTGTCCATGCACCTCGATCAAATGCAATTTTGGTGATGCGTGCCGCTTTGCGGAGAAGCACGTGGTGCCTTGCGTTGTTTGAATTTGAGGAAGGTGTTTGTTTCCCTTTCGTGCATGGACGTGTTTGCCCCGGTGCAAGCCTGCTTTGCGGTCTGCTTTGCAAAATTGCAAGGCAGCCCTCGCACTCACACAAGAAAAATGCAAGGGACATCTTGCGATCCAGCTTGCACTACTGCAAGGCAGCCCTTGCACTTCCATTGCAAGGCACGCATCCAGATGCGCCTCTTCCTCCTCATCTTCCTCTTCTCATTGATCATGCCCGAAAGGGCTGATGCGCAACTGGGTGGGTGGAATCGAACCCCGGTCCTGTAGCTTCGTAGCGCGGACGCTTACCCCGAGACTACAGGACTTGTCGATGTTCCGATGGCGCCGTACTGCATATGGCCCAAGCGCGCAGGAGGGGACAGTTGCTGCTTGCGATGGTGGGGGTAGGCTTGCAGTCAAGACGCAATGGTCTGCTTGCATTGATGCAAGGCTAGCCGCAGGCCGAGGCATGCGGAATCGCAAAGCAGCCTTGCATTGCCGCGAGGGACAGCCTGCATCGTCGGAGCGCGGCTGGACTTGCGATTCTGCAAAGCGAGGCGCACGGCCTTCCATGCGACTGCGCGGGGCAAACCTTGCGTCGCTTTGCTTTGCAATATCGCAAGGGTCCTTGTGCGTCTGGCACCCAAAAAAGCCGTGTTGCCTTGCGTTTGGCACAGGTTTGCCTTGCAGAATCGCAAGGTGGAGAGGCAGTGCAATTAAAGCCTTGCGTTTCTGCAAGTTTAACTTGCAATCATCGGAAACGCAATACACCCCGCTAGGTGTTCCTTGCGAAAGGGACACTTGCAGGTCTAGGCTTGCATTTTCCCTTGCGTTTTGCCTTGCACTTGGCAGAATCGCAACAGGCGGAACTACAGTGAATCGTAGCGAAATTCGGTAGCATTCAAAAGTACGTTCTTTGCGGAAACGTTTTGATAAGATCTTTTATCCAGAAGCGTTAACATAAGATCTTTTGAAAAGGACCCTTCGATATAGTTGATCGTATATTTTGTTGCAGAATCCTCTTCATCTTCAGGCGGGGCAGCGGCAACCGGAATCTCTGCTCCTGTCGCATCACCAGTTGTTTTTGGTGCTCCTGTTACAACGAAGTCAGTACCAACCTTCGGACTCGGCGGCATCAGCCCCATAGCCCGTATAGGTAACGGAAGTTTGTTTGGCGTCTCTTCACCAAAGAAGGAGTAAGGCCTTTGCCTACCGCAACGGGTCTCCTATCGTTGGAGGTAAGAAGCAGCCGTAAATGGAAGTAGAGAATGAACACTCGTGTAAATTTGGTCAGAATGTCAGAAGCATGTCTGAAATCCTGATCAAAATTCGCGCACCTCTAAAAGCTGAAATTCTGAAAAGTTACTCTGATATTAATGGTTTGAGTTCTTCGGAATGTCTGGAGATGTTTTCATCTTTCAGAGGTACGCGAATTTTGACCAGGTTTTCAGACAGGTTTCTGACATGCTGACTAGATTTACACGAGTGAAGTATTTTGCATCTACTTCGATGCGATATTCTATAACACGTCGGCCGGGTTCTACACTCATAAAAGCTTGCGAGGAAAATGCTCTTCGCTGCATTATCTAGTTTTCTCCGGCTTTCTCCGATTGTCACACTCTCTACAGGAACGTGACATCACGTTGAAACGAACGTGACTTAATGTCACGCTCGTTTGAGTATTGTGTCACGTTCGTTTAAATGTGAACTAGCTAATTTTTGGCCGATTCATATCGAGACGAATGTGACACGACTCTCAAACGAAGACAATTTGTCTCGTTCGTTTCAACGTGATGTCGCGTTCCTGGAATGAGAGTGCAGTTACGGAGAAAAACGTTAGTAACGTTGGGAAGCAATGCTTCCTGGTGAAGCATTTTCTTTGCAATTTGCAAAGTAATACTTCGCAATACAACGAATATAGTTTGCAAGAGAGTTCGTAATACAATGCCGGACAATACTTTGCATGGATTTTCAAGGGGGGCTCATCATGGCGGCCCCCGTAGGACGTCATCGGAGACCTCCCGACACAGCTGACGACGTCACTCAAATTTAGGCAAAGAAGCGCGTGTCGCTACATTGCGGGAGATAAATTTTTCGTCTGTCAAGATGGGGCAACAAAGTTGCATCACCCATTTGAAAGGTGATGGTGGTGTCTTTCCGCGCTGTCAAGCTGGAGAACTTAGGTTCACACTGTGCGAAAAAACCACAGTAAATCCCGTTAATTTTTTTGCCGGGGTTTACTGTAGTTCAGGACACAGTATTTACTGTACCTGGTTACAGCATTAACTGTACCTGGTTCGGGATATTCCGTACTCCACTCCTGTGGTAACAGTAAATCCCGTACAAAGTACAGTAGATCCTGTAAAAAAGTACAGTAAATCCTGTACTCTGAGCTACAGTGACAGCTGTACTCACTACAGGATTTACTGTGATTTTTTCCCACAGTGTTTATCTTCATGGTAAGGCGTAACACCTGTTTGTACCCGAAAACATCGTCTACTCACGTACCACGGACAATCTTACTGCTGGTATTCTTGAAATCTTGTACCTTCCAGTGCGTATTATCCGCCATGAAAATCTCGTATTCCGCCGATAGCGTGTGCATTTCTCTCATTGGAATTTTTCCCTTTCAGCATCGTCTTAAACTACGTCCCGCGGCCATTTCCGGAACTTCTGTGAAATCAATGCCCACTTCGTAGACTGCGCACTGATCCGGCACTGACTGAACTTCCTCGGACTTCGCTGCGCCCTGTCGTCTTGAAATCACTCTCTAGTTTGGAAGGACTCCTGTATCTGTGTCCTGTGTCATGATCATATGTGACATTTTTCGGGTATCGAGCAGGATATCTTAATTCATTGTGCTTTCCAGCATTACGGTGGAAACCATTGATGCATCATTTTGTATTTGTATCGTATGTTATTAAAATTTTCTATTTAGTTTTGTAGTGTAAAATTTCATTCTGAAAGTTCAATAAAAAGCGTTTTGTCTGGAAAAAAGGACTGTTGCAAAATTATTTTTTTCGGAACTCAGAGGGGGAAGAGGAAAGGTAATTGCTCACAAATAACTCCTTGGCAGTTGAATCTTCAGGTGAATTGCAAGAAATAAGAAACTGAAACACCTTTGGACCAAACTTGTAGAGTAGCTTCACCCGGAGATCATGCAAGATCCGGTTTGGAGTTCAGTTCCTCGAGTTTGATCTCGAATTTTTGGTGATATGACGCTTTAAACGACATCAGAGAAATGCCGTTGTCTTGCCAGTTCGGTTCACAATTCGTCATCACTATCACCCAATACAACACAATCACCCACTGCACAGTAAAAACTCTACGAAGAATCGCTTCGTAATACGCTGAAAATGAAGGCATTGTAAAATCTACGAAGAAATGCCATCGTAACTAATAAGAGTTGTGTTGTCGTTGAACAAGATTTTCTGTTAGAAATCAATGACGTGCAATCTTATAGCGAATATTGTTGTGAGATGACAATAATCTTGTTACATTACAACACAATGTGACCAACGAAAATGTGGTTAAAAAATAACCGAAGACTTGACGGAAGTCTTGTCGTACTACAATCGATTCATCAGAGAACAGCACCGAGAGCTGCAACGTGTTTTGCAACATAACAAGATGTGTTGCTATCAAACTTGACAACAAATGTATTGTAAAATTACAACATCTTTTTTAACAGTGTGGAGGCAGTGAGTGGACTTCCACTGAACTCGAATTGTCAGTGAGATAATGTGCATGCACTGTCTGGCGGGGAATACATCCGAGCGCCGGTCGTCGCCAACGCAGCTGATTAGTCTTGCAGTCTGTTCCGTGGCCTTGGGCGAGGCAGTCGCACGTCTTTTCCTGTAAGTAACTGGAAGTCTTGTCTGACTCAGCCAGATTTTAAAATTAGAATCGACGTCGACTCGAACTCCTTAATCCTGTTTACATAGAGATGCTCCCAGCATTGTCATCATAATCCAGACCGAGCAACCTAAGCTTAAAACAAGGCTCACATTAGAATGCGTTGTTGAAATATCTTTCTTGAAATGTCTTTCTTCAATAAATAATAAAAAAAAATGTAAACGCGTCACACTTACTTGTGCACTGCTATTCCGGCAGGTATTCCCCTTCTGGCCTGATTGACTTTGCTGTCGCTTATCGCGAGAGTCCGTCGTGCCTCGTTCCTCGCGGAAATCCTGCCGTTGCCATATTCCCCTGGCGTTGGCTGATGGGCTCGTAAATTAAAGTGTGCTCACTCTCAGCCTTTTACTGACTTTTTCTCATTAGCTTACGCATTTCTGTAAGCAACCATAATACTTAGTATTTTTTGTCAGCATTACTTAGTAATTCCTAATTACTGTACTGATATTATCGTTTTCTTAGTAAATTACAAAGAAATTTTTATGTATTTAAGAACTAAATACTAAGTAATATGGTTGCTTACAGAAATACGTCTGCTAATGAGAAATAGTCAGTAAACGGCTGAGAGTGCTCTCTCGGAACCTTGCAAAGATTGTGTTCGCATCACAAACTATTTAGTTTACAGATTGCGAAAAGTTTAGCTTCATTGTATTGCGAACTAGTTGTTCGCAATTTTACTCTTTTTGGCCGTTTCAAACGACATCGTTATCACTCTGTGGATAACTATGCATACGTGTAAAATGCGCGACTTTGTGTGCAACAACGCACATGGTGTTGCGTGACAATGCACATTCTCGTGCTTTGCAGCGTAGGAATTTGTGCATGTCAAACGTACGCTCAAATTCTTGCAAAGGTTATGCACAAAAAAACTACGTGTTAGTTTAGTGTGTTCTTCCTGCTTATTCCATAGTCCTGAGAATCCTGTCGGGGGGATTGAGGACATGTAAAAGTCTTACATCTGGAAACATACGTGGTGTTTTGTTGTTGTTGTTGTTGTTTTTTGTTGTTTTTTTTTTGGGGGGGGGGATGTTTGCGGCCGCGCCCCATGTGGCGGTGTAAAGGAAACCAATTTGTTCTAAAACACCGAGTGAAACATCAATAAATGATACTTGTAGAAGATACGGAACGAAGCTGTCCGCAGGTGCTCTACTTACCACGTTCATGGCATAAAAAACAAGTTTTTGTTCAATTTTTACAGAGTAGTTTGACGGCATGACTGACAATGGAAGGGACAACTGGCGCCGTCGTGCTCCGAGCCAAGACAACTGGAGGGCGTAAGACTTATCTCGATACAGTAGCGGATTAAGAAGTGGGCCGGAAGAGGGGCAGTGTGCGAAGAGTTGCCTACCTGTAGGAGCAAAGTGCTGCGGCCTGAATCTTACATCAGGCTATAAGACGTTGCTATCAAACTTTCAGTTGTTGCAGTCGGTCTGTTCGATCAGAATGTTAACTGTCAGAATAAAAAATTACAATCTTGTTGAGCGATTCTCACGTTTCGGGGTAGTTTCGTTTCTTCTGACTCCTGTGCTCAAACGAGCGCAGATATCGACATGGGGTTTGTTTCTGATGTTAGGGAGGGCCATTGCCCACTAAATGCACACATTTCGAAAAGTTCACGTTCGTTGGATTGGTCTACGTAGCGTTTGGAATACCCCAAATGTAACTTCCGTGATTGTCCAAAGGGAACATACTCGAACTTCCCGCCCCCAGTGTGGCGGTGGAGTTCGAAAATGCTGCCAACTGTCGATGGGGATTCGAAGCTTGGCATGTCTCGAGCTAATTTCAACCGAAGACCAATACGCCAGACTTCTTTCAAAGGTACTTATGCTGCAACGAAAAATGTCCTCCGTATATTCAATTTCACTACACAAATTTCGAAAAGGCAGCTCTGGACTTCTCCCCAAGCCAAACTTTTAACTTTCCATGACACAAGCCATCAAAGTGGAGTCCCTGGGATATAATTGCATGGGTCGCGGAAATCTAAGATGCTGTACACGGTCTCAAAGCGGGCTAGAGCATTATAAAATGGCGTGTATCAACAATTACCTGTAACTTCCGTGGCACCCTTTACCCAATGTTGCAGCAGCACTAGGTGAAAAAATTTTCCGCTTAAATGTCAGGCTTAGAGTATCATTTGACCCTGGAACGACTTTTAAGCCACAGCAAGCCCGAGTCAGCCGTTAAAGCCGATTTTCACACTTTGTAACTTCCGTGATAACGTAATTTCCGTGATCAAAACACCCACTAAAACGTATGGGGATACCTTATGGCTCATGTTTTTAGGAAGGTAGTACAAGGTCTTTACTATAAATACCATTGCCATAACTCCAGTATCATCCAGGACCCCAATAATCAGAAAAACTTAATTGGATATTTCTCACTTTCGGCAAATCAGAGACGCCAAAACTACCCCGAAACGTGAGAATCGCTCTGTTGCTTTGTCATAAGTTAGGCAGAATTCTGCTGAAGAAAATCCTGACGAAAATTCCCCTCTGATTGCCTGGTTCCCAAAACAGCTGTCCGATAGGCCCGACATCACTGCAAATCAGGCTGTACTTGAGTACCTTTTTTGGCGATACAATTGAGTATCGCCAATAAACCTGACCGAAAAAACTTTCGTTCAAATCGGCGATACACAAAAGTATCGCAAAAATTTGGCAATCCATACTTTCGAGTATCGCTACAATCCGTCAATAAACAAAAAAAGTGTCCCCTTGTTTCGTTGATAGTTATTGTCTAGTCTTGGCAATACTTTTGTGTTTCGCCGCTTTGAAGGCAAAATTTTTCGGAAAGGCCGCTTGTGGGCAACAGTGTACCTGAAGGTTAGGGTGGTCCGAAAAAACATTTTTTTCTCTGATCGGAAACGGGTACCTGCCAAAAGTGGCCACTTGACATCAGAAACACACCTGCAAAATTTTTTTCCGATCGGACAATATCTTCGGTTCCCACTTTGAGGGGGAAGTTTCGGATTTATAAGTAAAATTAGGCAATTTGCAAAACGGATTTGGATGCGCTGCTGATGCGTCCGGATGGTCACTCGGGAAGAAAAAGACACCTTATGTACTTTAAACAGCATATTGAGCTTCATATGTGGCCCTACTACAATACCCAGGGACTGAAAGTTCAGCTGAAATTCCGTGTTTTGCGTAAAATCAACACTTTTGCTTCCACAAGTTGTGTGTTGATGTTTCAGCACTCAGACACTTCGATTCGATGAACGTGACATCACGTCGAAACGAACGTGACAAAATTTTACGTTTATTTGAGCATTTTGTCACGTTCTTTAGGGTGTGAATTGGCAAGAAAACAGCTTTTTCACATCAAACGAACGTGACACAACACTCAAACGAACGTGACATTCTGTCACGTTCGTTTCTGCGTGATGTCACCTTCCTGGAATGAGAGTGTCCGAGTGCTGAAACATCACACACCACTGACACACAACTTGTGGAAGACAAAGTGTTGATTTTACTCAAAGCACGTAATTTCGGCCGAACTTCCGGCCCCTGGGTATTGTAGTAGGGCCACATATGAAGCTCGATATGCTGTTTAAAGTACATAAGGTGTCTTTTTCTTCCCGAGTGACCATCCGGACGCATCAGCAGCGCATCCAAATCCGTTTTGCAAATTGCCTAATTTTACTTATAGATCCGAAACTTCCCCCTCAAAGTGGGAACCAAAGATATTGTCCGATCGGAAAAAAAATTTGCAGGTGTGTTTCTGATGTCAAGTGGCCACTTTTGCCAGGTACCCGATTCCGATCAGAGAAAAAAGTGTTTTTTCGGACCACCCTACTGAAGGTATGCGCCACCCGGCCTGTACTTGGCTACACGCCAACCAGGAGTATACATGCATGTACACTCCAGGTGGAGTGTATGTACTATGTACACACTTGAGTTTGTAGAGTAGGGCAAAATTGCAGAATCACGATTATTTTTTTTAATCGAACAGTTGTTGAAACCATTATGATATATTTTCCGTTCGGCCCAAAGGAGAGCAAACATCGATGATGCTCAGCTCCCGGTTCCTCAGCGCCAGCGCCCTGCTCGGAACGAGCGGCCAAGTCGACTTCCGCCACGCAGGACCGGAACGCCGAGCAGCCCGAGCACGCCCGAAACGCCACCTCCGCTTTTAACCACAGCAGCTGGTGAGCCATTGCTTTGCGATAAATGTAACAGTAGACCACGTAAACCACAACCGTGAGTACCGACCAATCGTTAGTACAAGATTGCATTCTAAAACCCTTTAAACTTGTTTATTAAGGGGGCTCATACAAGTTAAAAGCACTTTTTTTAAAAAAAATTTTGATGTAGACGGATTAAGATTTTACAATTTCTGTCTTAAAATCCTTTTAGATAATTGAGTAAGCTTCATTTTGGCTTAAGGGAAAGTGACTTTGGACATTTTTTGGAGATTTAGTCGAAACGTTTAAAATTTTGCTTCTCGTAAGATTTTGTTCGCATACTTGCTCAGATCTGTGGGGAAAAAATCAGGGAGACTCATTCCCAGTAGTGTCATAGAATTGACTACAATGGGCTTTATATCTGCAATAGTTTTCAAGAAAAAAAATAAAAACAATTTTTTGTTGAAAAATTTGTTTAAAAAATTGTTAAAAAAATTGTTTTTATTTTTTTTTCTTGAAAACTATTGCAGATATAAAGCCCATTGTAGTCAATTCTATGACACTACTGGGGATAAGTCTCCCTGATTTTTTCCCCACAGATCTGAGCAAGTATGCGAACAAAATCTTACGAGAAGCAAAATTTTAAACGTTTCGACTAAATCTCCAAAAAATGTCCAAAGTCACTTTCCCTTAAGCCAAAATGAAGCTTACTCAATTATCTAAAAGGATTTTAAGACAGAAATTGTAAAATCTTAATCCGTCTACATCAAAATATTTTTTTAAAAAAGTGCTTTTAACTTGTATGAGCCCCCTTAAGGTCCACAATAATGTCCTCGGGGAAGGTTTTTTTTTAGTAGTTTGGACGATTTAGAGTCCAATGAAAATGCCTATTCTTCTGCGTGGCAATCTTTAATGCTTTCTCTTGAAAAATCGTCCTACAGAAAAAACATTTGTTACCGCACTAATTTGACGTAGCTGCAACCCGCACAAGACGGTTTTATTGTTGCTCACTCGTGTAAATCTTGTCAGAATGTCAGAGACCTGTCTGAAAACCTGATCAAAATTCGCGCACCTCTGAAAGCTGAAAACATCTACTGACAGTCTGTAGAACTCAAACCGTCAATATCAGAGTAAGTTTTCAGAATTTCAGCTTTCAGAGGTGCGTGAATTTTGATCAGGATTTTAGACATGTGTCTGACAAAATTTACACGATTGGATTTTCTCAGAAAAATAGTGCAGTATCAAACTTTTGTTTTTATAGTAGGACTTTTAAAAATAAAGCATGAAAGATTTGTTTTACTTTTTTCAGGTCACTTGGAGGGTCAAGAAGCCGCCAAACCCAGAGAAATATTTCTTGGATACAAGAAGTTAGAGGAACTGGCCAAGGATGATGGTGTGACGATCATGGAGAAGCTGTCCAACGAAGCTATGCTTACTGCCTTCCACAAACTCACGTCAGGAAATAAAATCCCGGACGACTGGATTCGCCTCGTGGTTGCCATCCTGGCGCGAGTCTGCCGGGTCGAGTACCAGCCCTTGGTGCTGCGCCTCTTTCACCGACTGTGTCAGAAAGAGTTCCTGGAACAGCTGCTGCTGCACATTGTTCAACTAGGCATGGACTCTGACCGAAAGCGGAGGGACGGCGTCGGTGACTTTCTTGCCAACTTCTGCGAGCTGTCCAGCGGAATACTCAGATTAATACCAGTTTTGGCCTGCGAGAAGCTGGAGAACTTGGTGAAGAAGGCCGCCTCTGAAGCATCGGACCTTCGGCCTTTTGAAGGATCGGAGCACGTGCTGAAAGAGCTGGAGAACATTAAGGCGAAGATTAAGGCAGAGAAGGAAAGGTTGGAGAACTCGCGACCGGCGGTGCGCCCCGCCAGAGACTCCTCATTTCTGCTCGGCCCCCCGCCTGAGGACTTCCGCGAGTTGCCGGTCTTCCCCACAGTGGAGGACCTGACGCTGCTCCACAGGCCGTACCTGCGGGCCAACAAGGTCCAGGGTGCGTACGATGACGCCAACCATTACCTGGACGTGCAGTTTCGACTCCTACGGGAAGACTTCATTCGGCCTCTGAGAGACGGCATCAGGGAGTATTGCGAAAAAGTCGCAGAGTTGGGACCGAGCGGTTCTAAAAATCGTTTCAAGATCAACAACGTCCGCGTCTACGAGAAAGTCAAGATTCTGGGCGTGAAAACGGAAGAAGAGCGCATCGGGCTGGATTTGGCCTTCGATCCTGATTTGAAACTCGCAGCTCGGGTGAACTGGGAGTATTCCAAGCGACTGATGCAGGACACTCTGCTTGTGCTGACACGAGATGCCTCTTTCGCCTCGGTCACCCTGTTGACCGTCTGCAAGAGGGATCTCACGGAGCTGCAGGCGGGACGGGTTCTGGTGCAGCTGTGTGAAGGTGCAGTGAGCGAAGATCTGTTCCTGGGTCACTTCATCATGGTGGAGTGCAGCGTCTTCTTCGGGGCGTACTGTCACGCCCTCAAGGCCCTGCAGACCTTCGACGAGGACTCGATTCCGCTGAAGGACTACATTGTCTACGCGTCGAACGCTCGGGAAATGCCTCCCTACCAGGCACGTGCCATCGGAACTTACTTGTACCTTCCGCTGGCGTCGTCTGACCCTGCTTCGATGACCGAAACTTGGCCTGTGAGGTTGGGTGACAGGGACGTTAGCTTGCCGTCGTCCAGCGACATGGGCCTGGACGACTCGCAGTACAGGGCTTTGGTCGCGGCCGTGCACAACAAGCTGATGCTTGTCCAAGGACCGCCGGGAACGGGGAAGACTTTCTTGGGACTCAAGGTGGCCGCCTGCCTCCTCCACAACAAGGCTCTCTGGACTGCCACTGCTCGTCCAAGGCCCATGCTGATCGTGTGCTACACGAATCATGCCCTGGATCAGTTCCTCTCGGGCCTCTTGCCTGCTACCCAAAGCATAGTCCGGGTTGGAGGTGGCTGCAAAGACCCCAAGATTGAACCTTTCAGAATCCACAACTTGAAACGCACCTTCAGACCGCAAGGCGATCAGAGGCACTTGTACCAACGCATACGCGAGCAAAGAGCCAAGTTCAACATGGTGAAGAATCTAAGTGACCGACTGCGGTACTGTCATTCTATGCTTTATGACTGTGCCGGCATTTTGAGTCACGAAACCCTGAAAAACTATGGCATCATCACCAGGGCAGAGTATGACTACTTCCGTGCCCACCCCATTTTCCAGTGGCTCTGCGGTGACCTCTACGAGGTGGCCCGAGAGCTAGGTGACTCGTTCGAGGCAGTCGTGCTCCACGCAGGCCTCCTTGATTTTGAATGCGTGGATGGGGCTGAAGTTGTCCACCAGCTGCGCAATGACATTCAGTTTTCCTTCTCATGTCCGATGGTTCAAGCAAAGATAAATGAGTTGGAAGAAGAGGACAAGCTGGATAACCTTTTTCATCTGCGGCACCTGTTGTCTCGTGTGAAAAGACTTCTTGAGAATCCGCTCCCTAGCTCAGAAAACATTGTACATGCCCCACTTCACAATCTGAACAACGTTCAGCGATGGCAGCTGTATAGGTAAATATGCCGCATTGGTTATGCTTTTTGCTTACTCGTATCACTGAAAAACCAAACATGGTCTAGACCACACCAACTGAATGTGGTCACAATGGCACCCATTTGGCCACTCAAGTGGTGTGGTCTAGACCACGTTTGGTTTTTCAGTGATGTTCCGAGAGTTAATAGAACAATACGTGACTAGTGCTGAAGGTTGGTTGATCATCTCGAGATGGAAAGCTGTGCCTACTTTCCGATCTCGCTGCGCCAGGAAGCATCCTCAGCCGATCTGCCTCATAAAGCTAAAACGCTTGTAACTCGTCCTCCCGTTTCTTTTTACTCACGAGTACTTTTACAGAATGTGGCAAGACCGTCTGCGGACTCAGTTTGTGAAGCCAGTGCTGGACCGAATGAATGTTGAGTACTCCGCCGCAGCATCACTCCTGCAGCAATGGAAGATGGTCGAGGATCAAACCATCATGGCCAACAACTTGGTTATTGGCATGACTACATCTTACGCCGCTTCTCACCAGAGCATTCTGAAAGAACTGAAACCCAGGATAGGTAACGACGGATTAGATCACACGGGAAAACCATTATCTCCTGATAGACCGATATTCCTGAGAATGCCAGGAGGTTTTCCTTGACATTGGCCAATAATCTGGGAAATACCAGGAGATGGTTGCGCATGCGCATGACCCAAGGTCACAGTATTTTTTTAAAATTACAAATCGCTTTTTGGGATTGACTTTGCGAATCCCGTTCCGGCGTTTACTTGCATCCCCTATCTACAACCGCTAGTATTGTTCAGTAAAACCATTTCACACGCTGGGGGAGGAATCCTAACCTGAAAGTCTGACTACAAGACATATCTGTCGGACAACAATATTTTATTCTTTATAAACCAAACTAGCCCTCCTGGTTTTTGTTTTCAACATTGTCAATAACTTGCGATGCGTTGTCAGCGGGATATATTCTCGAGTCTTCGAAAATTACGGAAGGAGGTTCTGCTATGCTTCTACGAAACTTTCTGCTGTTATTTTAGAGCGCTACGTTTAGTTTTGGAGATTTAAAAACCTACACTTGAAATGTCTCAGGACAATTTTCAATACCAACTGGAAACAGTTCTGTGCATTGCCGCATTTGGCAACTAAACAGTAATCAGCCAGTTCGTGCGAGTTTGTGCTCCATGCCAGCTGGTTACAATTTTTTCCACCAGACCTGATAATGCACAGAACATTGTTTCCAGTTGATACAAAACATTATCCACGCACATTAAGTTTGTGAAGCAAGCTACATTAACGGGGCTTAATTTGCACAGTCATCGTGGAGGAAGCTGCCGAAGTCCTGGAGGCCCACGTGCTGGTGTCTCTTGCCGGCGATGTGGAGCACCTTGTCATGATAGGTAAGACGAGACACGAGGTAGACACTGTTCTCAAGGGTTTCGTAACTGATTTGAATAAGAGATACTCAGTTTCCATGTCTCTGCTCATAAAAAGGGCAATTCTATTTTATAAATAGGCAAAGGTTAACTTTATTTAAAACATCACTTTTAAATTAACGTACATGGTACATCTGTTTCTTGGACAAGATCTGACATTCCAGAACTTAAGCCATACCGATTGTGATGCGTTAATTGTGAAAATAACATTTGGTGTGATGTGAGTTCCAAACTGACAAATCTTGTCCGTGAAACAGCTGTGTCTGTCGTTCTTATCCCGTTTCCCGAAATGAGCCCAACTGACCCTTGCTATAAAGCGGAATCGTTTGCAACGAAACACAACCGCCCGACTTTTTTGCCTCCTGCAGGTGACCACCAGCAGCTGCGGCCCAACCCCGCCGTGTACGAGCTGGCGCGCCGCTACCACCTGGACGTGTCCCTCTTCGAGAGACTCATCAACAACGGCGTCCACTGCGTGGCGCTCACCACGCAGCACCGCATGCGCCCGGAGATCGCACGCCTCATCAGCCCGTCCATCTATCCGAACCTCATCAACCACCCGTCCGTTCGCAACTTCCCAAGCGTGCGGGGCGTCACGAAGAACGTGTTCTTCCTCAACCACACGCGCCGTGAGGAGGAGGCGAGTGGAAATCTGATTCTTTCGTTGTGAATTCCAGCGTGTGGTTACGCTCTCAGACTGTTATTGACGAGGGGGTAAAAGCTCAAAGAAATCGTGTACAGAGTACTCGGTATTACGCGGTATTATGCTGTATTACGGGGATATTACACGTGTATTACGGCATTAAAATGCCGAAATTTGTCACATTTGGCCGAAGATGGTATTACAATTACGTGTATTACGCGTGACACAGTTTTTGTGTACAGGGTATTACACGAGTGTTTACCCCATCGGTTATTGACTTTTTAACTTTAGTTAAAAAGTATTTTACACAGCAATAAAAAGTACTATTTCCCCAAAATCTTTGTAAGATTTAGTTAGTTTTATTGTAATTTTAAAGTCAGTTTGCTATTGGTAAAGAGTCAGTACGCAATTGACTTACAAAATAGTCAGTAATTGATGACAATTTAGTCATTAAAGTGAACAGTATTATTGTACATGGATACAAAGGATATACTACATATTATTGCTGCTTAAAAAACTACGTAAGCAAGGATAAAAAGTCAATAATGGAGGTAAAAAAGTCAATACGAGTCTGAGAGTGTAGCGGAAGGGTCTTCTGTTGCACTTTCTCTGACTTGAAGCGGAAAGTACAGCAAACTGCTTCCGTAAGGAAACTGGTCCCTCTCTCTCGCATAGCCTCACACGTGCCTGCTAGTTCTACTGACTATTTTGTGTTTCAGGTGAAGGACGCCCAAAGCTTCCAAAACAGTCATGAGGCGAACATGGTGTCTGGTCTTGTCAAGTACCTTCTTCAGCAAGGTTACGATCCGTCCAAAATAACTGTGCTTTCCACCTACAAGGGGCAGCAGTTCTACTTCTCAAAGGTACGATACTCGCCCAGTTTCGACCCTGCAGAGTAAACCACGTTTTCCAACGTTATTAATCATGATTTCAAGAGAAAACGTTCTTCACAAATTCAAGTTGTTTCCCCCACGCTTTCAGCTGCACCGTGAGGGTGACCAGACGCATCTCAAAAACATCCGCAATACAGTAGTGGACAACTACCAGGGCGAGGAGTGTGACATCATTCTCCTGTCGTTGGTGCGCAGCAACTCCGAGAGCAAAGTCGGCTTTGTCGAGACTGACAACAGGGTCTGCGTCGCACTTTCAAGGGCCCGGCATGGCAAGTAGCTTTCTTGCATTCTTGTGACTTGTCACATTTCCGGGTTTAAACCCCCGGAAGCAAAGGTTTTGGGTACAAATTTTTCCCTCCTAAAGGGGAGGGGAAAGGAAACATAGGGAAGAAACGGGGGGTACGGGGCCCCAAAAAAACTTTCCTTCACCCTCAAGGCCGGGTTAAATTTTTGGAAATCCCAAAAATTTGACCGCGGAAACAATTTGGGGCAAATCGGAGGAACTAAACGGTAGGGGTTCGTTTAAACCCCTTTTTAAAGTTTTTTCCTGACATTTGTCACGTTGGGTTTAACAAAATTTCTTTTCCCGTTCGCAACGTGAAAAATGTAGGGAACGTGACATCTTGTCACGTTCGTTTCAACGTGAAATTTCCCCTTCCCTTTGGAATGAGGTTTTGTTTTAAGGGTGATTTTCCTCAGCGGCGTTAAAACTCCTACTTCCGACTTCCCAAGTACTGCTTTGTTTTTTTCTGCAAATGTTAAAATTGGGCTGTATTTACCTGCATGCACAGGAAAGCCTCGGCGACGCCTTGCCCTTGCGCTGCGAGATCCACGGGACCGTGACGCTTGTCTCCGCGGCGGAGGACTTCGCCAACTGTCCGCAGGGAGGGTGCACTAAGCTGTGCGGCACCATGATGCCGTGCGGCCACCCCTGCAACCAAGTGTGCCACACCCAAGACAGGGACCACAAGACGGCCAGGTACAGTGACTTGGAAACCTTCCTACTTTGCACTCACAGCAACCAAATCACCTAAAAGTGGCCATGGCCACTTTTATCGTGTACTTTGTTGGGCTTAATAGGGGTTTCCAAATGAAAAACTAAGGATAACGTCAGAAACAGGTCTGGTCAATGTCTTACTTTTTGACCGAAGATTCGTTGGCCGTAGTTTGTTACCTTCAGAGTATTCTAGTAATTACACACTAAATTCTTATGGACTTTTTAAATGCATAAGGACGTATTTTTTATGCGTAGTTATGCATGCGCAGAAACGTCCATAAGGTATGTATGAAATTATGCATCACTGTGTACATTTTATGCATCTTCCTGCATAAAATGTACACAGTGATGCATAATATTATACATAACATATGGACGTATCTGTGCATGCATAACTATGCATAAAAAAGTCCATAAGAATTTAGTGTGTAAATACTGAGGCTGATTGATGTCAGAAACATGTGGGGCCTATCTTTTTCTATTTCACCAAAGATTTGTTGGCTACAGTTTGAAGTCCATGCATTCATTGGCTTATTTCAAACGCATACAGCCTTAAAACAAATTGCATTAAAAAGTATGTCGTGATTTGTCAGGAATTGACATGATGCATTTTTTCTACTCATTATATAGACACTTGTAGGTCGAGACTGCTTGCTTGAAACTTTAACAGTTCAGCCTTACAGTAAACTGCAACTTACGATTTTGCAGGTGCATGGAACGCTGCTTGAAGGATGCCTGCAACGTAGGTCATCGTTGCCCGGATCGATGTTGCGAGCCATGCCAGCCATGCATCATCCCCAAACACGAGGAACTGCCCTGCGGTCACACCGCCCGTATGGCCTGCCACATGGATCCCCTTACGTACAAGTGCCTGGTAAACAAGTAGTATTAGCTCAAGGCGGACACTGAGAATGAAAAAGTCATGATCAATACCCAATTTTGGGCGAGGTATACTTTATCGAATTTGTACTTGCAGCAGTCCATACCCATAGCCTTTAGCGAACATTGCCTTATGTTACGTTATGAAATTAGTGTCAGTTAAATGTTATGTTAAGTTGCCTACCTTTCAGGAGTCGACAACTCCATTCTCCCCTACTCTAGAGGAAGCGGTCTAAATCCCGGACGCGTTTTGACCTCCTGAGTCCCTAAATGGGACTCGAACCGAGCGTGTGACCGCACCAATGGATTTCTCTCCGAACGAGGAATCCATTGGTGGAGACACATGCTCGGGTTCGAGTCTGGTGGGCGACTCTGGAGCTCAAGACGCTTCTAGAGTTTTGGCCCACTGTACTGGTTCTGAGCACATCTCTAATGAACGAACTTTCACCTGCTGGCAGACCAAGGTTACCGTCACACTGCCCGCGTGTCGGCACGAGCGTGAGGCCTCGTGCTACCAGACGGCCCATCTCGACAAGCTTCCCTGCAAGGTGCCGTGCAACGTCCGCATGGGCTGCGGCCACACCTGCGGCAAAAACTGCCACGTGCTGGACGATCCCGAGCACGAGAAGGTGCGTATTTGCAAATATTTTCCGCACTGGTACTCAAAGGCATACATTTTACGCCCCTTGGAGCTTAAGATATTCAGTTCATTTAGCATGACTTGGTTCCGCGCTTGGTTCAGAAAGGCATTCATTTTGTTGATCGTGTTGCTGTTACACGTCTTCGGGAAGGGTATAGGCCAGTTTTCTATCACGCTCTCGCGTAGGGCGTAATTTAAGGGCATTCGCACCAAGTGGGCAGTCTCGTCTCGGCATCGTTCTTGGGCGGTTTTGACCCCTTTCTTAAACTTCAATTACGAAATTCACCCCTTAGAGTCAGCGAACGGTGCGGATCAAAAGAAGAACATACTTTTTCGAACCTTGTCATGGTGCAGAGGCGAATGCGTTTCGTTCCAGGTCAAGTGCCTGAAGCCCTGTGGTCAGAAGAAGATATCCTGCTCCATGGACCACCCATGCAAGAAAATGTGTTACGAAAAGTGCGAAGAGTGCGTCACCATGGTGGAGAAAACCTTGGGCTGTGGTCACAAGTACAAGATGATGTGCAAGGATGACGCCGCCAGCAAGGAGTGCGGTCACAAGTGCGCTCGCTCCCTGCCCTGTGGACACAAGTGCCCGATGCTGTGTCGCGAGCCCTGTGCTCCGTGCAGAACACCGGTAAGTAAAGTCACCGGTCTGGATACTCAAAACCCATAAGTCTCTTTACTCACCCAATGTCATGGAACAGTTTTGGTTCCTGATGCAGTGGGCTGCTTCCTTACCCAAATTGGGCGACTCTCCGATGTTTATTGCACATTGTACCTTCGTCGGACAACATTCCTTATTATAGGGAATAACCAAACTCTCTTGGGAGGGAAGAGCCTCCAACTCGCTCTGGGGGAGGGTTTAGCATTTGCAAATTTTCGGAGTATTTCTCATTGTCAGAGCGCGCTTAGGGAAGAATCAAACAACTTTTTTTTTTATTAGAAAAACAAACAACAAAAAGCTGCCAACTTCGCCCTTTCAGATCTTATTCCCAGGAAAAGAAGCCTCACTAATCTTTCATTTGCACTCCTTACAGGTCAAGAAAACGGTGCCGGCCTGCATGCACGAGCAGTTGATGGAATGCGGCATGGACCCGGCACTCTTCAAGGACTGTGGCGCTCCGTGCAGGCGCTTCCTGACGTAAGACTCTTCTGAAACCTGACGAATCTCGCGAAGTCCCATCGAAATCTTGTGAAATCGCGCTAAATCTCATCAAAAGCCCGCGAAATCCTGCACAATATTAGCTCGAAATGCTGCAAGGTCCCTTCCTGTACAAAAAAAAAGTATGATAAGCATTGCTTGGTAATACAAAGAAAACGAAGGCATTGTAAATTCTAGAAGGGATTGCTTTGTATTAGTACGAAGCAAAATCCTTCGTCGCACGAAGCATTTCTTCATAACACAAAGCAATTGTACCATGCCTTCGTTTTTGTCGTTATTACAAAGCAAATATTTCTCAGGCTGTGTAGTTTAAAGAATCCTGTGAATGACTCCTTGCATTTTTCGGATTTAGATAATTTCAAAATACGGTCATTTCACTACAAACCTAACTATGTCTACTAAGCACACACTTACAAATGCATGCTTGCAAGTACACACAAATGCATGCTTGCCCAAGTACACACTTACAAATGCATACTTGCAAGTACACACTTACGAACGCATGCTTGACGCCGTATAACTCCATGCGTCAAGCATGCGTTTGTAAGTGTGTACTTGCAAGCATGCATTTGTAAGTGTGTACTAGTAGACAGTTAGGCTTGCAGTGTTATTGAGAAAAGCATTGACATAACCAACGCATAACCATGATGCGAGCGACGACTCTGGGCACTGTGCCCAGTTCAAGGACTGCCCAGTTCAACAGCAAACTAGTTCGTTGGTGTCCGTGCCGTGTTTCCTCTTGTCTCTCCTAAAAGTTTTCTGATTTTGCTCTGTTCACAGGGGTTGCGGACATAGGTGTGCGTTGAAGTGCCGTGATTTGTGCTCGGAGGCCCTCTGCACAGAGCCTGTGTTCTACCGGAAGGCTGCAGCTTGCGGCCACAAAATCAAGGTCCCTTGCAACATGGCCAGCACTTTGGGTAACTCAAGTTAATACCGAGATTCCAAACGCTATAAATATAGCACGTACGGTGCAATGCATTGCGAGAGTCATCGCACCATACGTGCAATGCCATATATGGCTATAGCCACATAGCACCTTACGTGTGATGCGACTCGCTAATTCCCTATGCTAATGAATATACTATACTCCGTTTGTGAAGTTTATGCAAGTATTGGCGTAGCATAAGTAGTGGGGACGGTAAGGGCTCCAACCTTGCACTTTGTGATGAAAACGAAATAATAGTCTTACTTTATGTTTTCGGGGGTGCTCTATCGATCTGGATATGGTGCCACGCCGAAATCGGGCTCCTTCATCCTGTTCGAGGCCAAGAAGTGCTAAATCATCTACAAACGACGGCTAAATGACGTCTGATCAACTTGGTAGTGGGCTCATTCGATTCGTCTCTTCAAGGCGGTCATTTTGACACCAATCTCGATAGTATGCGGTGCATAGGCGCGCATCCTGGCCGCCTAGAAGGTCCTCGAAGTGCCCCATCCTCTACAAAAGCATGCCTTACCGAGCAGATATCACCCCGGTTTGGGTGCTAAGCGGTTGTTATGCGCGCATTTAATTTATTGAAGCAAATGACTACTGCGAGGGGCGCGCTCGCACGCATCCTGGCTGCCCCAATGGTGTTCGAAGTGCCCCATCCTCTACAAATGCATGCTTTACCGGTCTGATTTCGCCGTGATTTAATTTTCTAGCAGCATGAGCACTTCAAACGCGTGTTAACAAACTTCCGGGCCTTGGTAATGTCACAATAGAGGCTTAGTGAAACAGGGTTGCCGCGCTTCCGGAACTTCGGATTTACCTGACATTTCCAGGTTTATCAGAGACATCTTTTGCCATTTTCCCTGACATTTTGGCTAATTTTTGAAGGGAGTTTTCGCGCGTGGAAAGGATATCCCATCTCGCGCACGTCATGACTTTTTGGCCTGAAAGTAGGTATTTTGACCTGTTTTCCACGAATGTCCCTGACATTTCTAGGTGTTCCCGGTTATTTCTGACATAGCTTCATTTTCCCTGACAATTTCAGGTTTTTCCTGTTTTCCAGGTGCGTGGCAACCCTGTGAAAACAAAATTTGGACGGTTCCCTTTTATATGTATTTCTATCCACACATTTGAATGACCTTCCACCGTCCTTAATGATATAAAAAATGCAAAAACCAGTTTAACAGACACTCTATGTTGCTTCCTCGTATATACTCTGCAAACTCAATTGTGTGCGGCATGCACTTGGTGCGTGCCTGTAGGCACACACTTCTTTCCTGCATGCCTGGCAGTCACACACCTCTTGGTGCATTCATGGCAGGCACACACTTCTTTTCTGCATGTCTTGCAGGCACAACTGCTTGGTGCCCGGCAGGCATACACTTCTTGGTGTATTGCCAGGCAGGTACACACTTCTATGCTGCATGCCTCAGGCACACACTTGCTTGTGTGCATGCCTCAGGCACACACTTGCATTTGTGCATGCATTAGCTACGGCAAAAGTGTGCCTGCAGGCATGCTCCAAGAAGTGCGTGCCTGGCACACAATTGAGTTTGCAGAGTACATACGAGGAAGCAACACAGAATGACAGTTAATCTAGTTTGTGCATTTCTCGTATCAATAGAGACGGTGGAAGGTCATTCAAATGTGTGGATAGAAATACATTTATACGAGAACCGTCCAAATTTTGTTTAACCAAGGCCCGGAAGTTTGCTAACACGCGTTTGAAGTGCTCATGCTGCTAGAAAACTAAACCACGGCGAAATCAGACCGGTAAAGCATGCATTTGTAGAGGATGGGGCACTTCGAACACCTTTGGGGCAGCCAGGATGCGTGCGAGCGCGCCCCTCGCAGTAGTCACTTCCTTCAATAAATTAAATGCGCGCATAAAAAACCGCTTGGCACCCAAACCGGGATGATATCTGCTCGGTAAGGCATGCTTTTGTAGAGGATGGGGCACTTCGAGGACCTTCTAGGAGGCCAGGATGCGAGCGCGCGCACGCCCTGCAGTCGCCAGGTGGGTCCATCAAACTCGATTCACGCATAGGAATCGATTGGCACTCGAACCCGGGGGGATATCTGCTCGGTAAAGCATGCTTTTGTAGAGGATGGGGCACTTCGAGGACCTTCTAGGAGGCCAGGATGCGAGCGCGCGCACGCCCTGCAGTCACCAGGTGGGTCCAAGAAACTCGATTCAAGCATAGGAATCGATTGGCACTCGAACCGGAGTGATATCTGCTCGGTAAAGCATGCTTTTGTAGAGGATGGGGCACTTCGAGGACCTTCTAGGCGGCCAGGATGCGCGCCTATGCACCGCATACTATCGAGATTGGTGTCAAAATGACCGTCTTGAAGAGACGAATCGAATGAGCCCACTACCAAGTTGATCAGACGTCATTTAGCCGTCGTTTGTAGATGATTTAGCACTTCTTGGCCTCGAGCAGGATGAAGGAGCCCGATTTCGGCGTGGCACCATATCCAGATCGATAGAGCACCCCCGAAAACATAAAGTAAGACTATTATTTCGTTTTCATCACAAAGTGCAAGGTTGGCCTGTTTTTTGTCCCTTAACGTCCCCACTAAAGTGGTGTGTAGAAACACACTGACGTCATACAATAGCTCCGATTTCACTAAAAAAAATTCTTCTGAGCACTGACTGTAACACGGTATGGATGAGGCGTGTTAATAGACTATTCTAGTCGTGGCTGAGTGAAGAACAAGAAGAATCACAAAAGACGCCATTTAGGGCATTTAAAGTGAATATATTTGATGAAATATGTTGCATTTACTATACTAGGGGTACGCGCCGTTCAGTCTGGGCGCGTAGTGTGGCTGAGCGATGCGAATTGACATTTTTTGTGCACTTTGGACTTTGCTTGATTAGACGAAATGTCCATCTTATGGGCTCATATTCAGTGAACTTTAGACCAGGGGTTCAAATGGAAGTGATTTTCGTCATCAGAACACCAAAAACTGCTGAAATCAATGTCAAACTCGATTTAAAAATTTTGGTCCAAAATTGGTCAAAATTCGGTTAAATGTGAGTCTGGGAAAAGTTTGAAGGTCATTTTTGAGTTCAGCACAACAAAAACTGCAGGAAACAATGTAAAACTCAACATGAAAATTTTGGTCCAAAATGATCTAATTTGCGATGAGAATATAAGTCTGGAGTCGAAACGAAAGTGATTTTCGTTATCAGCACACCAAAAACTGCTGGAATCAATGTCAAACTCGATTTAAAAATTTTGGTCCAAAATTGGTCAAAATTCGGGTAAGTGTGAGTCTGGGAAAATTTTGGAAGTCATTTTCGAGTTCAGCACACAAAAAACTGCAGGAAACAATATAAAACTTGACTTGAAATTTTTGGTCCAAAATGACCTAATATGGGATGAAAATATAGGTCTGGTGTTAAAATGGGAGTTATTTTCGTTATCAGCACTCAAAAAACTGCAAGAATCACTGTACAATTAATTATAAAAAATTTAACAAAAAAATCGGTTAAATTTTGGGTTAGGGGACAATTAAGATGTCAATATTGAGGTCAGCGCACTGAAAACTACAGGGAAATACATAAATCTCAACTTGGAGAGTTTTGCCCCAAATTGCGTAGCTCTAGATGAAAATGTAGGATTGGCATTGAAATAAATGTAGTTTTTGTGACCAGTACACTGCAAACTACATACAATACTTAAAAGTCAATTTCTGTATATTGTTCCTATTTGTCTTCATGAAGCACCCTCTGTCGTCACCAATTCCCTGATGCCACACCAAAGCGAATCCCTCAGTCGAGTAAAATTCAATTGCCAACATTGAATCGCTTAATTGGCTACTCGTATGCTTGGGTCACTATTCGATAACTCTTTTTCCTTAACTAATGAACTCACAATTTTATAAGTTATATTTATGAAACATTTTGTTATTCTTTCATTGTGAACCAGTGAATAAAACAATATTGGTTGGAACATGTTATCACAGTAAATATTAAGAGAGTCAGTTTAGGGTAGGCTGATCTAAACCAGTTAACGGGGACAAATTATTGTCAAATCCAGTGATTCGTCACATAGAGTCCAATGCCAAGGCTACCCAAGGCTTAATGAACCGACATAATTTATCTTACTCATGTAAACATTACTGAGTAGTACCAGTTACATTAACTTTGGTGAAGTTAAAGGAATCGTCTCACTAAATCCAATCACCAATTCACTCACCGCTCAAAACCTGAGTCGTCTCTTTGAAACCAATATCAATTCAAACTCTATTAGGATTAAATATACACAACCATATATTGATTCTATTAATAAACTCATGTTAGTACTTTTGGACTCTTGTCAGCTTGCAGCATTGCAATAGAATGAATTTCTCGAGTCCAAACTAAGTATGCCTGCCAATTTCAACACAAGTTATTTATGCATTTCCCTGATTTCCTCTAGTTTGAAAATTTTAAAAAGAGGATGACACTAGAATGAAATAAGAAGATGCACTCAATACAAAAGGTCAAAATAAAAACATCCGTTTTACAAAGCTTTGTCAAAGTGCACTGACCTAAAGATGATTCCCCTCTGACAGGGGAGGGGGGAGAGGGGAACGAAACACGTAAATCATTTTCGAATCCATTTTCCATATTTCGCTGTGTTGGTGTTCCAAAATGGTTTTAATCATTCTAGAATGTTGAAAAACTAAGGCCGATCTCATTTCCAAACCCTTCTGCTCTTTATTTCGTTTTATTTGCTTATTTGCTTAAGTCCCGTATTTGAGAGCCGCGGACCCGCAGGTATGAGAAATTGGTAAGCGCTGCCGCGCTGCCAACCTAACCACGCTAATGACCTGATTCAAAAATATGTTTTGAATATTTCAAACGATACTAAACAACGATTTGAAACAAACTCGTGTTGGGGGGTACTAAGGCGACGTTAAATACGAAATCTTGAAACTATAGCCACTGTAGTTGCTGAGAATCGTTGGTGAGTACAAACAGACTCACAGACAGACAGACAGACAGACAGACGCACGACCAGTCACTTTTCAGCGCGCCCAAACACGGCAAGGGCTTCGCTAACGCTCAGCCAAAAATATTTCAATTAACTTCTACCAAGCAAGGGGACTTAAACATTTGAAGTAAAAGTGCGAAAAAGTACATTTTTGTGATTCTTCTTGTTCTTCACTCAGCCACGACTAGAATAGTCTATCGAAATTTTGAGCCATGTTGACCGAAAACCCGTCAGTTTTGCATCTAGGCGCGTCTTCTACTTTATAGACCCCTGTTAAAAAAATATTGTCGAAATCGGAGTGAATGCCCTGTATTCCCTTGTACATAGAAAGTGAGGTTTCCTGTGCATTTTTACCGTCACTTTCTTCATTTCTCCTTAGAGTGTAACGGACATTGGCTTCCCTCTGCCCACACTGTTAAAAAAATTCTGAAAATTCAGACCTTTTTTGTAAGACTTAATGGTCTGAAATTATAATTAAGAACATTTTCTGAAAATTTGACCTAAGTCATGAAATTTCAGATCCAATCTACTGAAAATTCATTTCAGACTTAAGGGTCTGATAATTTTGAACGATTCTGAAAAGTCAGACTTCATTTTAGACTGAATCGGAATTTAAGATTGCATTCTGAAAATTCAGACAGCTTCACCTTGAAAGTAAGACCGCCTACCGCCGAGAAAACGTTTCAAAAATATTCCATAATTAAAATCAATTGGCATTTGATCAGTATCCCAGGGGATGCTTTATAAAGCGGCAATACTTCATGTGCTTTTCAGAAGTTGAAAACAGTGCTCGCAGTGGAGTGGCGGGCCGACGAACAGAGCGACCAGGTAGTGGTCCCCGGGACCCTCACGTGGCGTTGTAGCCGAATGGTAGCGAGCGGGGCTCACAAGCTAAGATTCGTTGGTTCGAACCCGACCAGTGACGAAGGAAAATGAACTTCCGGTACAGTTCATACAAAGCTTGTTGCCTCGTCTAGTATCAGAGGTGGCTGTTAAATGTACTTTATTTTTTAAGTTATTGAACTATCCCCTCGTTTTGAATTAAGTTAAGTCTCTGAAATTTCAGACCAATGTTCTGAATGAAAATTCAGAGTAGTGCTCCGATTTCCACATCTGAATTTTCAGACTCGAACTTTTCTGAAACTTTAAGTCTGAATTTGCAGACCACCTTATACAAAAAAAAAAACTTCAAAACGTTAAGTCTGAATTTTCAGAATTTTTTTTTAACAGCCCCGGACAGCCAGGACCTGCTGCTGCACTGCCAAGCGCCCTGTGGGCAGCTGCTGCTGTGCGAGCACGCGTGCAGCGGCACGTGCGGCTCGTGTCTGCAGGGCCGCTTCCATGCCACCTGCACGGCCAAGTGTGAGCGGCCGCTCATCTGCGGACACTTGTAAGCGCCAAGGGATTCACCTGTGTTGCCTGCAAACACTGGTGAAACAAAGGCATTGAAACTGAGTCCTTCGTTCACGGCGTGGAACGCACCGGTGAAACTGAAGCGTAGTTCTATGCTTGATTCAAGCATACAACTACGCTTGAAGACTTTACGCTTGACGTCAAGCGTAGAGAAGAAATTCTCCCATGCATTTAGATAGGCGGGAGAGGGGCAAAATGGAGAACTATGCTTGAAGCCGAGCGTAGTTCTACTACGCTTGAAGAAAGGCGTAAAACTACGCTTGAGTTCTACCAGTGCGGCGTGACGTTTAATCAGTAGGCGGCAACGGCCTAGGGAGCCCGTGAAGCTATGCTCGAGCGAGGTGCAGCGGTTACTTATTTTGCTTCGATTGTAAGATCTAGGCCGTTGATTGCCAAACGCTTTGCACAGATCAAAAGAGCACAAAATTTGGGGTGCGTTAGGCCTAAGAGACTGCCCGATACTTCCAATTCAACCGAACACAAGGGTGGAAACCTTTACATCAACATGGCGCATACGAGTTTTTTCCTAAAATTTTATGATTTCCCGTGTTTTTTTTTATGTTTTTACTGCACCTGAATATAAGGTAAGGTGGGAGCTTTGAGAAGGACAATTAGCCTAATGCACCCTAAATTTCAAGCCCTTTCCATCGGTGCAAAGCGTTTTGAAAAACACAGTCTAGTTTTCAAAAACTCGAAGAAGTGCGCAACCTCTGCACTGACGGCGCGAGCATCGCTTCACGCTCTCCCTAGGCCGTTGCCACCCCCTGGATTAATGCCCTTGGGAAGGACCTGAATTGGTTTTGGACTTGTAGGCAAACGTTTAGTGCCCTTATCCAAAGGCATAATTTTGACTCACGTGTGAAATACTGTATATGTCCTTAAGGGCATAAATTTTATGCCTTTGTTTTACCAGTGCTCTCGATGTCGGGTGTCCGCAGTACAGTTTATGTTTGTTCCCAGGTGCAAAGAGCCGTGCGCAGTCAGCTGCCCACCTTGCAACCAGCCTTGCTCCGTGGAATGTGCACACTCCGTCTGCAAATCTCGCTGTGGCGAACCCTGTATGCCGTGCCAGGTTTGTTTACAACGAAGAAACCCCTTGCATCCTGAATTCGAAGGAAGTCTCTGGTTGACTTCTATCGTCGACAGTTTCAGCTTACACCAGAATTTCGTTTTAAATGACTGAACAACCGTCCTTAAGAATTTTCCGTAGACTTTAGTTCCAATGCTAGAGGTTTCTGAAATACCGACTTCTTATTGTCATTGACTTACAAAAAATCAAAACAAACCACTTTCTCTTTGTCAAAATTATTCGGATCTTCGAATAAAATTATTAAAGGACCCTCCGAAAAAAAAAAAAGAATTGTTCGTTAAATGTCAATGGTAAATGCTCCCATTAGAAAACATGTGGCAGGAAGCATGAGGCAGTATGCTGCACACTGTAACAGTATAAGGGAGTATGGGGCGATTTGTAACAGATTTCGGAATTCGCTATACAAAATAAAGAACATTCTGCATATCGGTGTCAAACTTGTGCCAGTTGAGCAGTCTGGCCCTTCATCTAGACTGTGCAGCTCCATTGGATCAATCTGGAGTCCGTAATCTTTGAAATCTAAGACGTTTTTCAAACCCTTGCATGCTGTTACGAATCGCCCCAGCATGGGGCGATTTGTAACAGCCATGGGGCTTTTCATAACATCCTCCACATTAAATGAAACGTCGTCGGGAATGTTATCTCCTCCACCAGTTGTTCTTCGGGTGTCCTGCAGACGTCTTAAAATCTACATTACAAGCTGTCGTTGACCGCCTCCGCATTAACTGATCGGCTATGTCAATCCTAACCTCACTTTTTTCAATTTTAGATAAAGAATAGAATAACTCGCTTTAAAATGCATTTCGAGCTGTGTAAATAAATTGGAATAAGGCAGCAGATGATTCGAGAAAAAATTCAGGCATTTAATTGCTAAAACTACTTAAATTCTTGTTTTTATACGGGTCTGTTACGAATCACCCCAAATGCCTGTTACGCAAGAAATACGTCCCTAACTATCACTGGACAAATTAAAAGCAACTTATACCACGTGGTTACATTGTAAAGGGGTCACGCTTCAAGGCCCCAACGGTGCTTCGATGGTGATTCGTACCTGGGGAGCCTCAGACAGAAACTTCCTAGAACTCAAAATAAAAGATTTTTCCTGTTTGCCGAAATTTCGGTGTACCCTATATTTCAGACGCCCTCCAAAACTATACCCTGAGCACCGATCACATCCGCTTCGATTGTTCAAGGACCCTGTACTTGAAGCGAAAGAGGGGCCATACTCAGATTTTCCTCTGCTCCCTCCACTTAAATTAATAAACGCATTTGTTACGAATCGCCCCTGTTACAAATCGCCCCATACTCCCTTACTGTTATACTGGTAACCAGAGTGTGCTAACTTCACTTTGTCAACTGACTTTATTCCTGTATCTCGAAAACGACTGGAGATGGAAAAGTTATTCATATGGATGACCCCATCTAAAAATGAATTTCAGGTGGGGTCATACCTATGAATAACTTTACTATCTCTAGTCGTATACGAGATACATGAATGTTAGCGCACTCTGTTGGTAACATTAATGTTTAATTACTTATGTTTGGCTGAAAACTCAACTTTACAATACCCTACATTATTATAGTTGCAATTTGAACTTAAGCACCTTTACGGTTCGTTCGAAATTGCGTTTCAAGGTGATCACACGCTGATGTACACGTGTTTTATGAGTTTATTCCGAAGCTACCTTTTCTTCCGTAGGAGCCGTGCATGCGAAACTGCATTCACCGCAAATGTGGCGTGTCATGTGGCTCAATCTGCCCCGAAGAACCTTGCAGCCTGCCTTGCTCGAAAACTGTTGAGAAGTGCGGCCACAACTGCGTTGGCTTGTGTGGCGACACCTGCCTGTGCAAAGAATGCAATAAAGACAAGTTTGAAATATTTTTCGGTAGAGAAGATGAAGAAGATGCAAGGTGAGTAGTATGTGGAAACACAACTCAAAATTTGGCACTTTCGCCGTCACGCATTTTGCGGACAGGTTGCGGGCAAGGCAATCCGGGAATTCTTGCCAGTCGCACCAGGGCGGCTTCAAAGACTAGCCGATAAAAGGGGGCTAGGGACTGGGACCATGTTATGCTTTTTGCCAACTTTTGAGGCAGGCAACGGTTCCTGGTTTTCCCAGGAACGTCCTGCAAACCGCTTTATGTCTTTACTGAAGGCTACCTGAGGAAACCAGGAAACCGCGGTACGAAATGAAACTGAACGTGTGCAGGTTTATCATACTCCCCGATTGTCAACACATCTTTGAGTCCTGGGGGCTGGACAACTGGATGCTGGCGGATGGCGACGGCGACGGTGAAATCATCCTGAAGGTACGAGCCTCGAGACGGTTCACCGATCCAAAGTATTGCGCGTTAGTAGGTATAGTGCAGTAGCTGTAAACTTTCTATGCTGTGCCGTTTCGAGGGCTGAGTTATCTCTGGTTATTGCAAAGTAAATAGAAGTGAAAAAGGGTACAATATTTGCTTCAGAAGCTTAACTTTTTAAAACCTGTCTGTTGTATGAGCAAATTTCTCTAGCTGCGTGTCCACTCCAAGCGTCGCATGACCTTTCCAGTTCTAGAAAATGCAGGTTTTCAAGATTTCAGTTGTTTGTCCCAAATCCTCACGTCAAACCAGAATTTTCTCAAGTGCCAGCAGGTAGCAAAATAAACCACATATGACAGGAAAATGATAGCTCTGACTTTTGTTTTGATATCTTAGCTTCAAGGGCAAAATTGGACCAAATGCCGCAAACTTTCTTAATTTTGATAAAACCTATAAACAACCTTAACGAAATAATGTTTACTGCTCAAAGGCTGAAATCTGCCGGCGGCAATGCTTTCATTTCCTGATTTCTATGCCGTTTTAACTGCACTGTTATTCAAATTGCGATAACCACCGTATATATTTTGCAATAAAAAACTTATCACATTTTTTTTGCTGTAATGACAATTAAATATCTGCAATAAAAAATTTATAGCTAAATTTTGCAATAAAGTATCACATTTTTGCGATAATGACTACAAAGAAAATGCAATAAAAAGTTATCGCAGAAAAAAATGTGATAAAAGTTACTACAAAACGCTCTATTATCGCAAAAATTATGGGGTGGTTATTGCAAAAAAAGTGCAATAACAAAATTATCGCACTCCAGGATGCGATAAATCGTGGGAATCGCAAACTCGGTTTTATCGCAAAAATTTGTAGTAAAAGTATCGCAAAATGAATGACAGTGTGCCAGTTAAAGAACGTAGGCAGGGAAAATCTAGTTCTTTCTCAAACACGACTGTAACGTTCACGCTAATAATTTAGGAACCTTCATAATTTAGGAACCAATGGCAGTAGCGACCCCTGTCTTCAGGACTGAATGCATCTTATAGTGATTGAATTGTGATACCACTATCAGCTTTTTGCCAGAAAGTTCACTTAACCTTTGCTAGTTTTGGACTTCTTAGTGGGCATATTACATCTGCAAAGTTCGAAACTCCTTGGTCCACTACTAAGAAAAAACAGTTCCAACCAAACCTCAACGTTACGTGACATTGGCGTGGACTTATTGGAAACTTGTAACCTTGTTTCTGCGAAGGTGTGTCCAATGTGCAAGACTCCGGTGCTGAAAAGTCAAAGGTACAGCAACGTTGTGAAGCGGAAGGCATTCGACGTCTCCAAAGTCAAGTCCAAGGTTTATGGCAACTGGGCTACCATTCAACCGGCTACTGAGAACGCCTTACGAGCACTGAACGAAGTACTGCCTTTTCCTAACGGTACGTGACGGTGGTCTGTCTGTCTGTCTCATGTAGTGTGCCGGTTTTCGACTTATCAAAATTCAAGATGGCCTTTAAAGATGCCTACGCAACTGCCCTACTGCTCTTATACTTGCCGTAAAAAAGCATCTTACGTTAGTCAATTCGCACGCAGTTCGATTTTGGGTAGAATGAAGCTATCATTCTTACAACCGACGCATTTTGTTTCCTCTTGTGTTTCAGGCTTCGAGGCAGCCAGTCATCTTGTTACCACCATTGAAAGCATGCTACAGAATGTGAAGAAGGATTTTCCAGACCCAAAGAACCTAACGGGCACAAGGAAGAAGCCATCTCGTAGTTGGACCGAGATTCGGAACGTGGAACAGTTTTCCGTCATTCTGAAAAACCTCAGCAAAATTGTTGCGGATGCTTTCTATCAACCAGCATCGCAACTACTGAAGCTCAGTAACTCCGGCCAAGTTGAGATACAGCTATTTGTTGAAACCCTGTGCCGCAACATAAGCGCTAGGAACCTAGTGCGTATGAGCGCCCAGGAGGTAAGCAGCATCTTGTTTTACCATCATCAAAGTATGAAATATTATGTGTATTCAACCCAAATGGTCGGGGTGAATTCAACCGTTATTTAGTCAACCCCTCCCATGAGACGTACAGTATCCCCGTACAACAAAAAAGTGGCTTGAGGAAGGCTATACGATGTCTCAGAAATAGCCATCCTCCCGTCAACCTCAGACCGTCTCTAGACATCGAGGATGTCTCCAGAAGGACCTTTGGATTTGTAGCGTTGAGTTGTCTTGTCCAAAGAATCACCAAATTGTGCCAAAAGTTTATCAGAGCACAGCGGCATGGGGTATGAACTTGATCTGTGGCTTGTTCTCGTTGCTGATAGAAACGACATGAGGTCAACCTTAACCTCGAAACGCTAGTTACGAAATACGATCCTCCTCGCGCGCCATAAACAGTTAGGGTCTTTCTCACGCAGCAATTAATGACGATACTTTTATTAAGAGGGGTCGAAGTCATCACTCATTCAGTTGAGCCTTCCATGTGCCCGTCTCCCTCTCGGATTGAAAAAGCCAAACATTGTGGTTGCCCAGAAGTCTTTTTCTTTTTTAATTTATTTATCAGAATATTTTACGCTGTTTTAATAAAATTCTTATGCACAGGCCTCTGATGTGAACACTGAGCTGCTTCGCTTGCAAAGGTTAGCATTTTTGTGCCAAGTCGAAAATGGCTCTGGTGCCAGCCGCTTCACGGCCGGCGAAAGGGAGATGCTTTACTCTGTCTCCAACATAATCAGGAGCATCAGGCCGTATGCCAAGGTAAGCGCACCTTTAACGCACGGTAATAACGGAACCTGGTTTTCCCAGGAACTGCCTGGAAATCGCCTATGTCTCCACCCTAGGCCTTCTGGGAAAACCAGGTTCCGTTTTTACCGTGCGCATTTCTACAATTTTGTACTTGCTCTCGCACAGTTTTGATCTTGCGAACTTTTTCGTACTACTAGGGACATTTTTTCTGGCTGCAAGGAAAACATCGTAAAAGTACGCTTAAATTTTAAGTCAGCTCGAGCGATCATGCTATATAGTGAATTCAAAGAATTGAAAATTTGAGAGTCAGTAGGCTCCTAAGATAGTGACTTAAACACCTGCAAAGTTCCAAACCCGGGACCGGGCCAAATCAATGTTAATAGGAGATAAAATGTAGCTGAGAATAGCATTGCTGCGTATGGGAGTAGGGTTATGTTGCCCGTCTGAACCCGGCATGTTTCTTTTTTATAATACTTGAAGTGAAACCGATAAAAAGCATACATTTAATCGTATGTTCAGTCACTTTACTAAATGACAGAAAGAAAAGTGCGCGTCACCGGACTTATTAGTGAGAAAAGACATAAAATTGCGGTTTTAGCAGCCGACACTGAAGTCAAGTTCACAACTAAATTACGAGTTTTAATTCATGTCTTCCCTTTTCGGCAGCCTCACTGGCCCCAACGAATTTAATTCTTGGTGAAAAAAATAAAGTGGGACCTTTATATAATTTTTTTAAGGTCTGAAGACAGAATTTTGAAATTTCAACCCTCGCTTGACTTGTATGCCCCGCGCTTCTCTACAGGGTTTTAACATAGTAATCAAATGTTAAATTTACTGATTAACTTCTTCACACTCGTTTGTTTCACCCCGAAGGAGCAGGACGCTCTGATCAAGACGATGCTGGTGAACCTGGCCGAGAAGGCGAGCGTGTCCATCACGAAGGCCGAGATCCAGGCCGTGGTGGCGGCCATGGGCATGGGCCAGGGCCACTGGTACCAGTGCCCCAACGGCCACCCCTACTGCATCACGGAGTGCGGCGGCGCCATGCAGGAGGGGCATTGCAACGAGTGCGGTGCGCCCATCGGCGGGCGGGACCACCGACTGCGCTCCGACAACCGGCTGGCCACCAACATCGACGGAGCCACACGGCCGGCGTGGCCGACCGCCATGAACTACGGCTATTAGAACAACGCACTGCACTGTGGGCCAGAAGACCGGTACAACTTCACCTTCTTTGAAGTCGTCTATGGATGTCTTATAAAACTCAGATTGATGTTTACTGAACAAAAATTGTGAGGAATAAGAGCTTCAACTTGAGTAATCTGAAATAAAGTCATCTACTATTTTGTACAGTGTGACTATGTTTGCTCTGTCCGTGCTCTCCCATTACTTGTATGTCACAGAGGTAACCATTTCAGAATCGAAAAACACCTCTAATTTTTTCTGTAGCTCAGATGAACTCAGAAGCACATTTTCGACGATGACAGTCTTTTCTTGGGTTGGCACATAACAGCATTTTCCTGCAGTCTCTAACACTTTCAAACCTCGCATCCTTCAAGTTGGCAGCTTCAAACATAAGCTCAGGGTTCTGATGGTAGGTGCAAACATATATTTGATAAATTCCAGTACTTCCAGCTAAAACACAATCTTCAGGGCGCAACTCACAAAATTTTCTTCTTGAAGTTTGATTGCGTGAGTGCTTTTCATAAAATTTTGTATGTAAACATGCAAGTGTTGGAAGAACAAGTCTTCTTCACTCGTTTGCCTTGTTCAATGACACCGACAACATCTTTTGCCCCTGGTAGAGGGCGACTTATATCGTATCTGCAGTAGAATTTTAAAACTAAGTCAATCGTCTCTCGAGGGAGAGCACGTCCCACTCTGGAACTAGGAAAAGAAAATAATCCATTTTCTTGAACTATCTGCCGGCTTTTCCTTGCCATGTAATTTGAAACACCAAAAGTACTTTCAATTTTGGCATTTCCCCAGCTTTTCTGAACAACAGATAAGGCTAGGATTTTCTTATCTGGCTCAGGGTGGCTTTTAATAAATTCTTGAAGTTGGGAAATAATTTGCTTAAAATCTGCAGCGTCTGGATCTTCTCAACTTTGTCCTCCACTGAATTTAGTGAGAGCTGCTCTTAATTATTTCATCACTTTTTCACCATAGTTTTTCTACTTTGTCAACTTACGCTCAGATATAGGGGAAAATTCTAGAGATGACAGCCAAGTATTGACACCGTCAATGCTTTCTTTGAACGGTGAGTCGTCAGTCTTGACATTTTGAGAGCGGTTCAAAGAAACACTTGGGGATACACTGGGCAGGCTTGATTGGATACTTGGAGGTGAAACAGCTGCATCATGAACAGCGGAAGGTTTAAACTCTCTAGCTCTCTTCACCTCTCCTCCTTTTTCTTTAACACTTGAAAATTATTTTATCTTGCAAGACACAAATCTTTTTACTAACAAAAGTTCAATAATTTTTGCACTGTGTTACACTGAGTAAATTAGATGGGCTTCTTTGCTGGCGGATCAGCACCTGCTGAATGATGAACAGCGGAAGGTTTAAACTCTGTAGCTCTCTTCACCTCTTCTCCTTTTTCTTTAACACTTCCCTTCGGGCGCCCTCGACTGGTGCTGTGCCTTGCAGGCTTTGCCGCATTGGCTATGTTCCAGAGACATACTGCAGCAGCCACCACCTGACGGTGCTATCCAGGCCATCCAATTTGAATCTGAATATTGCGCCGCCGCAGGATGGAAGCAACATCCTGTTAGAAATTGTTTTGAACGAATCGCTCGTTCTCCCAAGCAAAAATTATAACTTTCTGCGGTTGACATTTTTGATTCGATGAAAACTCATGGCATATTTTGAGCCATAGTAGGTCCACTTTGTTTCATCTGCACCCAGTTGAAACCATATTTTTACATTAGAACCAAAATTATGCAGAACTAGGACTTTGTCTCAAGCTTGGAGGAATCTTTTTTCTTCATCGTTTTTCGTTCTCTTTTCAACGGTAGTCTCGGTTTTTCGATAGGACGAACCAGTCCCGAGATATCGGCCAAAATATATACAACCGTCACAAAACGTGAAAAAAGTTTCAAACTCCACTACTCCTACCCTTGAAGGAATTCGGCCAAAACATTTAAGGGTCCTTTCTAGGACGACTCGGACAACAATGTTTGAACGTTTGGTCGAGATCCGAAGATGTTGCTGATCGGGGCAGGTTGACTTTACGTGGAATGAACCTTTGGTCAAGATCGGACCACGGGAAGTCCTCGGATGGACGGACGAACGGACCAACAGCATGTATCATACTATATGCCCGTCCCTACGGTATTCCTTTTTACAAAAAAATACACGGGACGGGCCTAAAAGCCTGTGCCTGTGTCGTTTCATTGTGACCACTGACCACCAAAATCAAATTCATTTCCTGGCGTTTCCGGTAGAGAATCGTTACGGATTACGCCATTTCAATTTACTGTGTGCATTTACACCTCTCACCGACCCCGTTCAATGGGTAGCGCTCTTCTGGCATGCAAAATTTCAGCCTGATCGACTGGGCAAGCCGTTGAGAAATGCCGAGGGGCAAACAACTTCGTCAAAATTTGTACACCGTTATTTCAAATTCACGTTATTTCACGTTATTTCATTGTTATTTCAACGTTATTTCAAGGATATTTCAGCGTTATTTCGCGTTATTTCGTGTTATTTCACGTTATTTCGTGTTATTTCACGTTATTTCGCGCTATTTCACCGTTATTTCACGCAATTTCACGCTTATTTTGGCGTTATTTCAACGTTATTTCACCGTTATTTCACGTTATTTCACCGTTATTTCACGTTATTTCACGGAAAATGTACACCTAAATTCAAGTTGTTTGCCCCTCGAGAAATGCTGACACACGCGACCTGTGATGTTTTCAGGCTGTGCTATCGCTCAGGCATCACAGTTGACTAGAACGATTACGGCAGGCGTCCGTCACGGCTATTCCAACCCTCTCAGAAGTGAGCAGTGGGCCAGAAGATTGGTGGAGGCGGGAAAAACTTAAAACGCGTTTTGAGCTCCAGAGTCGCTTAAACAGGATTCAAACAAAACCCTAAATGTCGAACCAAACAAGTGACCCCACCAATGGATTCCTCGTTCGGAGGGCAATCCATTGGTGGGGTCACATGTTCGGTTCGAGTGTCATTTTGAGACTCAGGAGCTCAAAACGAGTCTAGAATTTTGGCCGCCTCCACCGGTCTTCCGCCTCCGACGCGGCTCTCCGCGCCACTGGGACGCCACCCGACGTTGTGACTGCTGCCAAGGCGTGCAATGTCCACACATCAGCCGACAAGATAAGCGACTCCAAGTGAGCCAGGTCAGTCGTTGTCATGAAGCGGGCGCTGCTGGTGGGGCTTCTCTGCGCGCTCGGCAGCGCCGCTCCCGACGACTCACCGTCGGTGGAAGGGCGCTGGAACAGCATCGTGAGTGATGTCCACCTGAAAATGCTGCCCCCTCCAAAAAAAGCCGTTTCTGGAACCAACATGATAAACTTGCATCGAGCTAATTACTCAAAAACCGAGATTCCTGAAATACGATAGGCATACGCAAATTCAATTATTAGAAATCAATATCACTCGTGTAAATCTTGTCAGAATGTCAGAAACGTGTCTGAAAACCTGATCAAAATTCGCGCACCTCTGAAAGCTGAAAACATATTCTGACATTCTGGAGAACTCATGCCATCAATACAAGGTAGGTTTAAGCCAGACCGCGTCTTGTCGTAACAGGCTTCGCGATGTCTCGCTGCCTGTTCCTCCAATCCGCGCCTGGCGTACCTACCTTGGCCTGCGGCGCTAGGCTGCCTTCGGCAGACAATGCTTGTCCATCATCAGTTATTTCTGAACTGTTGCATGCTGGGGGGCTCCGCCCCCCAGACCCCCCTTCATTCTAGGTAGAGGTGCTTCATCTTCAAATTACACGATCTTGACCCTCGTAACTTTTCAACTTGTCGAGGCTGGGGGGCTCCGCCCCCCCCCCCCCCCTTTCAACCGGACAGGAGAGGTCTACCTACAGAAAACCGATTTTTCGCCGTTTTTTAGGTGTTTTTCGGCTATAAAAACTGAACCAGTTGAGCTAGGATGGTGAAATTTCGCGTGTGCCGAGCCAAGAACATACCTAATAACCCTGCAAAATCTCAGCCAGATCGGCCGAGCCGTTCAGGAGGAGTAGTGTACACACACACACACACAGACACACACACACACAGACAGACAAAACTTTTCAACCGCACTGGAGTAACAGGCTTCGCTATCGCTCAGCCAATCAGCATGAGTTTTCAGAATTTCAGCTTTCAGAGGAGCGCGATTTTTGATCAGGATTTCAGACATGTTTCTGACCCTCTGACAAAATTTACACAAGTGATGTTTCGTTCAAAAAACGGCTTTTGACGGTGTTGCTTTCCAGCCTCTCAGTTGATTTATTGGCTGAGCGATAGCGAAGCCCGTTACTCCAGTGCGGTTGAAAAGTTTTGTCTGTCTGTCTGTGTGTCTGTCTGTCTGTGTGTGTACACTACTCCTCCTGAACGGCTCGGCCGATCTGGCTGAGATTTTGCAGGCTTATTAGGTATGTTCTTGGCTCGGCATACGCGAAATTTCACCATCCTAGCTCAACTGGTTCAGTTTATATAGCCGAAAACCACCTAAAAAACGGCGAAAAATCGAGTTTTCTGCAGGCAGATCACTTATGCCTGGAAGAAGGGGGGTCTGGGGGGCCCGGGGCCCCCCAGCCCCGACAAGGTACAAAGTTACAAGGGTCAAGATCGTGTTATCTGTAGATGAAGCAACTCTATCTGGAATGAAGGGGGGCCTGGGGGGTAGAGCCCCCCAGCATGCAAGAAGTAAGAAGTAACGGACGGTGGACAAGCCAATACCTGCCGAAGGCAGGCTAGCGCCGCAGGCCAAGGTAGGTACGCCAGGCGCGGATTGGAGGAACAGGCCGCGAGACATCGCGAAGCCTGTTACGACAAGACGCGGTCTGGCGTAAACCTACCTTGTTTATTTGCTACTTTGATTAGTTTACTAGTGCTTATCACAATACATACTGGTCAAGCTTAAGTGCAACTCTAAGATTGAGTCAAGCACAAAGTTATGCTTGCATACGTTACGCTTGAAATGAAGCAAGGACTGGCTTATTCAGTTAACGAGTTCCGATATCCCACCGACTTCCGACCGACGTAGGACCGACTTCGTGCCGACTTTCAGCTGGGGTCGCCCGCTGGATTTCCTGTTTTTGCCATCCTTGTTTTCGGTGCTTACTTCCTTTTACTTGGATTGATTGTTTTTAAGGTCGCCCTTCAGTGTGAAAACTCATAAATACCCATTACTTTGAATATATAAAGATTGCCCCCTCCACGAGAGGCAGCCGAAAGTCGGTACAAAGTCGGTCCTACGTCGGTCGTAAGTCGGTGGGATGTCGGACTCGTTAACTGAATAAGCCAGACTACGCTCCAATTCCAGAAACGTGACATCACGTGGAAACAAATGTGACAGAATGTGACGTTCTTTTGAGCATTGTGTCTCATTCTTTTGAATGTGAATAAGCTAATTTGGCTGAGCGATAGCGAAGCCCTTGCCGTGTTTGGGCGCTCCGAAAAGTGACTGGTCGTGCGTCTGTCTGTCTGTCTGTATGTAATCACTCACGTTTCTCAGCAACTACTGAACGAATAGTATCCAAATTTCACACCTGAAGTCTCCTTAACATCCTACAGGGGGAGTTTATCTCAGATTAACAATTATCATCGTTTGAAATATTCAAAACATCATTTTGAACTAGGTAATTAGCGTGTTTAGGTTGGTAGCAGCGTGTGGCTGACCAATTTCTCATACCGGCTGCCGCGCTTGCAAGCCGTCTGCAAGACGGGACGGCACTTATGCAAATAAACAAACTTAAGAGCAAAGGGGTTCTCAAATAGGTACTGAGATAGTTTTTTAACATTCTAGAATGATTGAAACCCTTCCGGGGTGTCAACAGAGGAAAATACGGAAAGTAAATGTGAGAATGGTTTACGTGTTTCGTTCCCCTCTTCCCCCTCCCCCGTCACAGGGGAACAGGTCAGTGCACTGAGTGTAGTTGTGGATTGTAAATAGAATGTTTTCTTTGCCTTTGTGTGCATCTACTGATTTTATTCTCTCTGATACTATCCTAATTTTTAAATTTCATAGTAAATAAAATCAGGTAAATGCATGAATAACTTTTGTTGAAATTAGAGGACATGTTAATTGTCTTGGTTTGTCTCGGGGAAATGACACTCTATTGCAATGCTGCAAGCTAACATAAATATTCTAGTACTTACATCTATTGATTAAAAGAATCCATAAATAGATGTATTTTTTGCAATAAATAATCCACATATTTAGTGCTAACATATTTTGAACTGATATTGGGTTCAATGAGACGATTCAGGTTTTGAGCGGTGGGTGACTTGGTAATTGCTTTTAATGGGACGATTCCTTTCACTTCACCAAAGCTTGTGTCCGACAACTGGAACCAAGTATTGGTAATGATTTAAAAGCTGGCTTTCTGAATGTAAGCCCAATGTTAATACTATACTGTATTCTTTTATTCTAAAGATAAAATATCACAAGGCATGAATAAGGTAAATTAAGTTGGCGTATTGAGCAACAAGTGGCCTCTGCATTTGACTTCATGAGACGATTCACTGAATTTGACAAAACTTGTTCTCCGTCGAATGCTTCAGATCAGCCTGCCCTAAACTGAGTCACTTAATAAAAACTATGATTATATATTCCAGTCTATATTGTTTAATTCACTGGTTTTAAATAAAAGAATGACAAAAGGCTTCTCAAATATAACTTATGAATTTGTGAATTCATTAGTTTGAAGAAAAAGATGTATCGAATAGTGAGTCAAGCAGACAAGTAGCTAATTAAGTGACTCAATGCTGGCAATGGAATGTTACTCGACTGAAGGAATCGCACTGGTGTGGCATTAGGGTATTGGTGACGACAAAGGGTGATCCATGAAGACCAACCCAGACCCATTTTTTACCGATTATTGATCAATTCGATATCAGTATTTTTCAATCGAATCTCATATTGATTCTTGGAGTTTTTGGAGTGCTGATTATGAAAACCACTTCCATTTCTACTCCAGACTTATATTTTCATCTCAAATTAGGTCATTTCGGACCAAAATTTTCAGGTCGAGTTTTATATTGTTTCCTGCAGTGTTTTATGAGCTGAACTCAAAAATAACTTCCAAATTTTTCCCAGACTCACGCTATACCCAATTTTGACCAAATTTGGACCAAAATTTTTGAATTGAGTTTGATGTTGATCCCAACAGTTTTTTGTGTGCTGATAACGAAAATCACCTCCATTTCGACTCCAGACTTATATTTTCATCCCAAATTAAGTCATTTTGGACCAAAATTTTCAAATCAAGTTTTTTATTGTTTCCTGCAGTTTTTGGTGCGCTGAGCTCAAAAATGACTCCCAAATTTTTCCCAGACTCACGCATTACCGACTTTTGACCAATTTTGGACCAAAATTTTGGAATCGAGTTTGACGTTGATCCCAACAGTTTTGACTAATATTATATACACGCAGCGTTTAAATAATAAAATTTGACTTTATGTACACGCAGCGTGCACATAACAGAAAAAAAATTATTTACACGCAGGATTTTTTTCCTCAGACGTCTACCTACGGTGCCCATGTAGGACAAAATGTTCCTGCGTGCAAATAATATTTTGGGTTCTATTTAAACGCTGCGTGTCTTTAAGGCACCAAAAAATTATTGACACGCAGGATTGTAAAAAGTCTTCCGACCGGCGACTGAGTCCGGCATGGCGGCTTGGTGGGTGAGTGGGTCCGTGCTTGCTCGGGAATTTTTTGGCCCGGGTTCGAGACTCGCCTTCTTCTCAAAAAATTCTGCGTGTCAATAATGAAAACCGGCGTTGTTTGAACGCTGCGTGTTTATAATAAATTCACATGTTATTTACACGCAGCGTGTCTGCAAGGCCCAGTTTTATTATTTACGCGCAGGAAAAGTTTTGCTGCGTGCAAATAATATTTTGGCTTTTATTTAAACGCTGCGTGTCTCTAAGACACCAAAAAATTATTGGCACGCAGGATTGTAAAAAGTCTTCCGACCGGCGAATGAGTCCGGCATGATGGCTTGGTAGGTGAGTGGGTCCGTGCTTGCACGGGAATTTTTCGGCCCGGGTTCAAGACTTCGCTTTTTCTTAAAAAATTTCTGCGTGTCAATAATGAAAACCGGTGTTGTTTGAACGCAGCGTGTTTATAATAAATTCACACGTTATTTACACGCTGCGTGTCTCCAAGACACCAAAAAATTATTGGCACGCAGGAAGCCCTTATGTCCTTCCCTTTTGCGCCGTCAGTAGTGGTACGCATCTGTTTCTTGAGGTGTGTTGACGCTCATGTCGCGCTGGGTGGCG